TCAGGTGACCTTTAGCTAAGGCTGGGCAAAAATACATGTATTGTAAGATGTATTGTAAAGGTTCAGTGTGTAATATTTAGGAGGATCTATTGACAGAAATGCAATGTAATATGCACAACTATGTTTTCAGTGGTGTATAAAGACCTTACATAATTAACCATTTTGTTTTTATTACCATAGAATGAGCCATTTCTATTTACATACACCAGCTGCACCACTACTTTTCTTTTGTATTTCAAAAATACTAAAAATACTTTACTTCAAAAATACTTTACTGTTACTTCAAAGGTAACATGAAATCTATCTATTGATCTTTCACTTCACCAGTACACTGACTCAGTGGATTAAGTTGACAACGTTTGAGAGCAACAGCTTTTCCCGCGCGATAAATCTGACAGGCAGATAGTAATATTCACAAATATTCACATATCCCTGTGATCACCCAGATGAAGGTTAGTTTTAAAGTAACCAACAGTGCAATGTTTAAATAACAGATTGCAAATGACTCATAATTGTATCCTAATTTCGTCAGTTGGTGTTCAGTAATGAAGAGCCTACTTTGCATCATCTGAGCTACAACAAACACGAGTGGTGGATGAGTTGACAACCTGCTGATTACTGGCATTGCAGCACAACACTGTTATGGACAATGTAGCACCCGTGTGCATTTAACTTCAAGTTACACCATCTTGTGGCATAATAAAGAAATGTATTTTTTTTCATGTACAACCAACGAAAACTTAACATAACCTGAAAGTAGTAAGCTAACGTTAACTGTGAGGGCTGCTACTCGGGTCAAATAGTTAGTTAGAAGTTAGTAGAAGTAGTTAGAACATAAATAAATGTAAACTGATCAATGATTTAGCCTAGGCTACTAAAACAAACTCCAAAACTTAACAGGAATTAGTAAGAACTGTATGCTAAAAAATGAACTGGCAACTTACACATTTTTCATCTTGACATTCTTCTTCAGTTCTGAATCAGTTTTCTTTTCTGATCTCAACTAATGTCAAATCTGGGCAAATTACCGAGTAGCACCAATCAGAGTATTTTACAGTATTTTTCAACTTCAAAATAAAGTACAATACTATTTTGATACAAAATATCCAATACAATGTCTGAGTTTCCTTGACTGTATGTTGTACAGTATATTTACAATATTATTAACTATACAAAAATTTAAACTACATCTTCTACATTAATATCCAGTTAATATTCTTTGTTGTATGTTGTCACATTTCTCTACACTCGTGACCAGTTCCTGTTCTCTGGAAAGCTAATGGCCACTGGAGCAGCTGGAATGAGGCTTTCTATACAAGACGAGATATATTAACACATGTGCTGGATGAAATCAAGTTCACCAATGTTTGTATCTATAACAGAATTGCTCTCAGCAACTTAATCTTTCTGATGATCTTTTCAATTCTGACAAGGGTGAGCACTGACAAATAGGAATTTATATGTAGTATGCAATTGGTGACGTGATGTGGAAGTAGATCCTGCCAAAAGGAGTTTTAATGATGAAAATGCCTTACCTTGCTCAGAATTTAACACTGCTTTTAACTGGATGAGCGATAACACAGGTACAATTTAACAGCATGTTCTGTGGGAAAATGTAAAACTCAAATGCTGTTCGGCCAAAAAAAAGACTCCTTAACCAGTCTGTTCACCTTTTAAGTATTTTTAAGTGTTTCACTTTTTCTGCTAAATGTGTCAGGCATTTCTCATAAAGGGGGATCTGTGTTGTGGAGAGTATAATTAGATATTTAACCCACAGGAGACTTTTAAAGCTGCTCGAGTCACTCTCCATATAACCCAATTAGAGAAACTCAGGTAGAGAAGAGAGCGATTAAAAAGTGTCAGAAATGTTCCAAAACTGTAGTGATTTAGCAAGATATCAGATATTACTACTTTGGAGCTGTGATGATGCTCCCCACAACACATCTTCCTACTCGTCACAGCCAAACAGATGTGTTATCAATGAAATCATACCAAATGTTTGGTTCAGACTAAGCTGGTGGACGATGTTTGATTTGGGAAGAGATATCTTGGAACATCCACCAATCTGAAGTTGTTGATGAGTACATTTATGTCTGCATCTAGAGACAGAAACAACACAGGTGTACAAAGATTCCCCAACATAGTAACAGTATATCCATGTGACAGAGACTATTCAGGTAGGCGGTTGAGAGCAGTGCTGTCAATTAATTAATGAGTTGATTGGGAAAAAATAATTAATGGACTGCAAATTTCTTAATTGTTTTAGGAATAGATCAGTTGAAAAAAAAAGTTATTTGTGGGTTTGAGCTTTTCAAATGTGAGCATTTGCTGCTTTTCTATATTTTATATACAGTAAACTGAATATCTTTGGGTTTCAAAGATATTGGTCGAGCAAAATAAAATTAAAGATGTTACTTTGGTCTCTTAGGTTTTATTCACTCTTTTTCTGAAATTTTACAGACAGATTTATATATTTAGTACAATAATCAATGAATTGGAAAAACATTCCACAGGTTGATCAATAATGGAAATAATCCTAAATTGTATACTTGATTTGGTGGCTTGTAACTGACATTAAAGCACAAGAAAAGTGGCAGGGCCAGTGTGCTCGAATACACTTTACATAGCAAATATTCAAATGATCAAAATGTTTTGCTTGTTTGTTTTACAACATATTTATGTATGTATTATATGTATAAAACGATTAAGTTCTGGACTTATTTCCATTGTAATGCCTGGTGTTTTAAAAAACTATTTTGTTGTTGTTTGTCAAAAATCTCTTCTCTAAAATTAGAAAAACAAAAACCCTCAAACCATTTTTTGTCTCTTTTAATAGTTGCTAGCAGTTAGTGGAGGCAGGTACTTAGGCCAACTGATTGCTATTGAAATTTGAGGAATCACTTTAAGGCTTTCTTCAGACTGTCTCCCAGATCCATTTTTTTGCATATTCAGATTGTATCCAGATTGATTTTGAACAGGATCCAACCCAGAGCAACTGAGCAGAATCACGTTGCAGAACTCCTCCGTGGCTGAGTTTGTCTGGCGCAACAGAGCAGTTCTGCGCCTCAACTTGACAGCGCGATTGTTTGGAGGGCAAGATGGTGGGTATCCATTACTCATGCTTCAGCACCACCAGTGTACATAGTTACTGATGCCTAAGTTGTTATCACAGCAACCCATACAGATACTGTATGTTGGTAATGCCTGAACACTATCCAATCTGATCATTTGCAAAGAACAGTGCACACAGTCTGTCTTAAAGATCTGATTTGAGAAACAAATCTGAATTGCCTACAGTCAGAACAAATCCTAAGTGATTCAAACAGTGCAGTTTCAGAGTACTATCAAATTGGAAAGTTCTTGACAATTTAGTTGCATTGCTCTGATGTAAAGTTGTGACTGTGTTGAGTGTGATAATGACATAGCGAGAGTCTTGCTGTCTGTCATGTCCAATCGACATACTTGTTGAAACTATATTGGGCTTTATTAGTATTTGTTCTTTGAGCAGAAGACAGCAGGGGGAAAAACTCTGAAGCTCAGAGACCATATGTCCCAAAGCCGCCAAATTTAATGGATGAGTTTAAATTCACATCCACTACTCTTCCTCCTAAAAGTTAAACATCCAGATGGAAGAACTATAACAAGCAATTTTAGGTTTAAGCTGAGAGCACCTGAACAAAAAAATGAAAAATCTAAATTCAAATAAGAATGTTTCCTCTCAGATCCTGTGCTCAATTTTTATGCATTAAGGTTGAGTTACACACCACATACTGTACATCTGTGCTTGTATGGACTCTAGCCCACACCTAATGGTTCTCTTTTGTGCCACTATCAGGCAGGCGTTTAAATTCATATTTCTTGCTACCTCACACGTGTATGTAATCACAAATGAAGGATTAGTGTGTCAGCATAGACTACTTCCATAGATTTTAAGCATGTCCTGTGCACTGAGAAGACTATCTCAGCCAGAGAAGGCAGAGGAGAAGACTTGGGGAGGAACAGAAAGAGAAAGATCAAGTGAAAAAAATGTGTTTGCTACTGCTTTCATGCATAATTAGTGAGGCTGTCTGTCTATAATTAAAGCTCTTCAGACCAGCTGCAAGACTGATAAGCCAGGGTGTGTTAATACTAGTTATGTGCTAGTATTGCAAATGTAACATTAAACAGCTCTCATCAAAGTTCACCCAAGTTTCACCAATAAGTGAGCAATAAGTTACAGCTTTATACATCTTCTGCATGTACAGAAAGCATACTCAATAGACTTTATAGGCATGTTTGATTCAGTATTTTGACCAGCCTAAAGAAAGCCCAGCACATATTCATGTTGATGTAGTAGCAGATTTAGTATTCAGGTGCTCTGCATCTGCACATTCTTGGCAGCTGCTCAAATAGTAATGGTAAGTCAGCACACACAAAGATTTACACTCATGATAAATTCGGCTGGCCTAGTGAAAGAGATGAACTTATAACTACATACTGATTTCCATAATGATGTGTCAATGAGACGACAGGTAATTTAATGCCTGCCCCCCAGGTTCAATCAGATGTAATAAATATCAGAGTAGCTGCAGTGAATCCAGTTTCTTTATTTGATGTAACCTGTGTATACTTGTGCTTTTGCTTCAGAACAGGCACCTGGTAAATGTTCATTTTAGTGGAATGTTTTTTTTAATATCATCAAACACCTCAGTATCACGTTTGAGGTTTAAAGTATTAGCTAACAAAGCAGGAAAATATGTGGAAATTACATACAAATGGACTAGGATATGGGGTGGTGTTGGAGCAGTGGATAAGACACATGCCTTTGGTGGGAGAGACCCGGGTTCAAATCCACTGTGAGACACCAGTGTGTCCCTGAGCAAGACACTTAACCCCTAGTTGCTCAACAGGTGTGCCACCTGAATAAATGTAAATGTCAGGTAATTGCACAACAGGTGTTGGTATTTCAGCACAATGTTTCATGTTCATCGTCACAGGGGTCTCTGTCTTTTTCAGCACATGCAAACCAAGGAGCTCAGTTTGCTCCCTATTATTAGGATTATGGCCAAATATTTGACCAACATTTGTTCAGAGTGGGAGAGGTTTGTCAGACTAGAGGGCTTAGAGACATCAGTGATTGTGGAAGGAGGCAAAGACTCACAGTCTGATGTGGATGAACATTCTTTACACTAATGATGTCGACTGCTTAAGCACTCTCTTGACTATAGCAAGAATCTTAGAATAATCTTTCATCCTCTTAAAAGACTAAAAACTTTGCCTCAGAGAGTTCCTAAGACAGATCACCATTCATATGATGTGAGATGATCCACCACAATTTTGCAAAGGAGAAAAAGTTAAAGGTTTTGGGCCAAGTTGTTAATGAAGAAAAAAGGGAAATTATGAAGACACAGAGGTCCTTAGTTCACCTTTCATATGATGTAAGTTGACTCACCTCAGACAAAGAGGGGAAAAAAGCATTGAATAAAATGAGTATAATTACTTTTGCTTAATATTTGATCTTTGGTCTTTTGTGATATTTCAATGTATTTATCTTCAATTTGTATCAGTGAAGAGTGCTTGGCTTTGGCAGGAAGAGCACACTTCTCAGTATTAAGGGCAAGCCAATTGTGCCAATGTACACTCCTCTTTTCTGACTGCTGAAAGGACTGATCACAGATGTCACTCACTTGATTGCGTTACGTTTGCTGCTTATTAGACATTCTGGGGAGCTGCTGAGGAGCAGTAGAAACCATAGAGTAACCGGCTTCTGATGAATTCATGGGCAGCCCTGAGCAGGGTTGATTGTGATCCAGAATACACGTCAGAGTTTTGAATTTTATGAATGTGAACATGTTACACAAAACAACACAGGTAATTTACCATTGCAGATGATACCACAAATGAGTGGTTCCCAGTCGTTTTCATCTGATACTTTATACCCCAACAGTCCCAGAAATGGTTTTAAACTGTATGTTATTTAAAACTATTAATTATTTGATTGTCACTATTAAGTTGGTTTGGTTAAACTGGCTAACTATGTCAGTCATATATGCATTACATGTTGTGGTGGTTGACGGTGAGTGTCCTGTTTATTTCTCCTTTTTGCTTGTGATTCTGTTTCCCCTGGTGTTTTGGCCTGCCTGTTTGTGTCTCCTCCTTTCCCCCTGTGTGTGCTCTCCCTCTCTCTCTCCCTCCGCTCCTGAGCCCAGCCAACGACCTGCACCTGCATCTCGTCAGCCACCTCCTCTGCCTGCCACACCTGCCAGCAATCAGCCTCATCTCCGACAGTACTTCTACCCCGGTTCTCCAGTCAACCCCTGCTTGATCATTGTTGCTCCAGACCTGGTGTCACTGTTTGCCTCAAACCTTTTTTTGGGCTTAATATCTGTTTCCCTACTCTTGGTTTGTCCCTGTGTCTAACCTTGTCTGTCTGCCTTCCCCCAGGTTCACTCACCCTCGTCTCCTGTCAACTCAGCTGGGCTCACCACCCTGCCCTCTTCCCTCGGACCTCCTCCACGGCATCCTCTTCCCGTGCCCAGCCAGTCAGCCTGCCACCACACTCCAACAACCTGCCCGGTCAGTTCTCCCGTGCCTCCTCTCTTCCTCGGCCCCCGGTGCCTCCCGGCTCCCTTGTCTCAGTCTCCTCGGTTGCCTGTGTTTCCGGCATCTGCCTCTCCCTCACCTCCACTCCCTCAACCCCTTTTCCGTAAATAAAACCTGTTCATCCTGAGCGTTGCGTTTGGGTCCACTCTGTCCACACCACAACATTACATTTAGGCTATTTTGCCAGTTTCCCAATAGATGGCTGTCTTTACTGTTAATTACTTTTAGACATCTTTTCTTTAAACCATAAATCCTGTAGGCTACTTTTTAGCTAATTGTTTAAACTTCTCTGCTCGCTTGCTTTCTGTGCACTGGATTTTTTTCTTTTTCCCCCCCATAATTATCATTTTTGTAGTATTCTCATTTTCAGGTTCAAAATCCTGTTTAGGGATTGTACCAGAACAGGTTTTACATGGTTTAATTTTCAAAACTTTTTTTCATAGTGCACATTGCTGCAGCTCCTCTTTTCACCCTGTGTTGAAGGCTTAATTTTAGCTATGGAGTGATGCATCTTGGGCCTTCCTCAATCTGTGTTGTCTGTCCTTGTGAAACTTCATCTTTTGTGGCCCAAGTACTGTCCTAATACACAAGTTTGCATTTTGGCCAGAACGGTTAAAAATCCGGAAGTGTTGACACGCCCATTTTACCAAGGATGCATCGGTTGGTAACTCGTGTGAACTTGACGGCACAAATATCCCATCAGCATTCAAGCAAGGGGCTGAATTGCACATGCGCACTTCCTAGTTAAGGACCGCTACCCAATCAGAAGCAGAGAAAGGCGGGTCAGCGAAAAGACCGTAAACAGCTTTGATTCAGCTGTAGGCTACATGTTGCTGACCAGGTTGGCAATTTGGACTGGAGCGAGAGTTTCAGAGTGGTGAGTTATTAATCTGTAACAAGTGTCTTTCCATCCATAAAGTTTTAACTGAGCTCTGTCTCTACATCACAGTAACAACTGCCTGGAGGGTAGCTAGGAGAGGTGTGTGCTGCAGCACACTGTTTTTCCACCGCTGTTTCAAAGGGCATGTTGGACTAGTTGCTCGGCAAGCATTATGACATTTTCATTGACATCACAAGAAAGGGAAGTAAAGGCTGGACTACAAACGAGGTGTTATCAGGCAGTTCCGAGCAGTGTTTTCTGTGGGAGATGGGAACTCCCTTTGGGGTGGACTTTGGGCTTTTTCACTTTGCAAACCTATTATATGCACAAAAAAGAGATGACTCAATAAAGGAGAAGGAAAAAGCCAAAACCACCTCTAACATTTTGTTACAATTCATAGGCGTGCCAACAGCATTTGGTTTCAGTTGAGATTCTTTCTGCTTTCCTGTGATCAGTTTACTGCTAACAGAGCTAGTCACTAGTCTATACCAACTGTTTGGGGCTTATGTGTTGCTAAAACTGTTACTTTATGGTTAACTATAATATATTTTACTTTTTTTTTTTTAAGTTTTCTCTTGTGGACTATTGGTATGTTTTGGTGCTGTACTTCCCATTGGACCATAAAGTTTATCTTTCATTTGTGATGCTTAGTTTCTCCCTGGCATGAATGTAAGTCATTTGACAATCTATTTGCCCATATGACTATGTCTGTACTTTGGTGAATCCAGTATAACCAGTTCATTTTTGCAACATTTGTTTATGGAATCTCATAGTTTTCTGATTTGAAATCACTATCACTGAATTTGTTTTCCAGCAATTCCATAAATGCAATGTTTGGAAGTTGACCCTCAAGCCTGTGCTCTCTTTGCTAACCGGCACCTGAGTGCATTTTGACTTGCATGTCAGTTATTCAACTCTTTGTTGAGACTTACTTCTCGCTGATTCAGACTTGATTCAATTACAACAGGGTGCACACCGCACACGATACACACAGACAATATAACTTACTTTAAGTCATTCTCCCACTGTCCATCCATCCGTCGTCAACTGCTTATCCTGCGTAAAGGGTCGCGGGGGACTGGAACCTATCCCAGCTGACATCGGGCGAAAGGCAGGGTATACCCTGGATAGGTCACCAGTCCATCGCAGGGCCACACATTGATAAACCACTCACACACACATCCACACCTAAGGACAATTTTGGAGACACCAATTAACCTAGCCTGCATGTCTTTGGATGGTGGGAGGAAGCCAGAGCACCCGGAGAGAACCCACGCGGACACGGGGAGAACACGCAAACTCCACACAGAAAGGCCAGGGCAAACAGGGTTTAAACCTACGACTTTGCTGTGAAGCGACAGTGCTAACCACTGCACCACCGTGCCGCTCTCCCACTGTCGAATGTGGAAAAACTCTCCTACAGTGTGATCTTCGTTTTTCTGTGAGAGCAGAACAGTCCATTAGCCTTATCTTGGTCAAATTTGCCCACCATGGAGCAGCATGGGGAAATCAAGCCTGGAATCCATCAGTTGGGCTTGGCAGGATTTGGTTGTTCATTAATTACATTTTGTGATGAGTATTTCTGTTGAACATGATTATTACACTGGTGGGATACTGGATGTTTATTTTATGGTAACACAAAAATATCCATCCCAGTCTTTTCCTAACGTCATTGGTGGACCATTTAATCAAGCTTTCAGGGTTTGGAAAATAGGTTTTATTTCTCCTTGAAACACAGATGCCCAGGGAATATCTATTAGGCCCTTAATAGATTGCAAACTCACGGTCTGAGTTATATCTCGCTCTGCTCTCCTCCACTCTGGTTAGTCAGTGTTTACAGTGGGTCATAACATGCATGGCTGTGGCTGGTTTTGTGGAGGGTGAAGAGCAATAATTTAATCATTAGACCAAGAAGGTTTGAAATAAGACCAGTGAGTTCACAAGGACACACAGAAAATGAGGAGGTGTGGACACAAGACGAATAAACAAATGTCACACGGGCATTCATGTAGAGGACAAGGAGATATGTTATTGCACTAAATGGTGTGTATTTATTTCAGTGGCTGGGGAAAAAAAGACTGCAGAATATCTTTGTGTCAATCCTAGTTGCAGTCTTTAGTAGATCTTGCCCAATGAACATTTTTGCAATTTTGTGGAAAGTCATTCAGGCATCATAGAAGAGAGAGAGATGGAGGGAAGGGAAAGATGTGAGAGCAAAAGCAATGCAAGGGGGGGGGCACAGAGTGTGAGATGATGTGAGAGAAAATTGCACTGAGATAAGAGATGACCAAGGAGAAAGAAATAAAGTAACAATTATTTATTATATTAGTCTCTGCCACAGCCACCTCCATGCATATATTTTCACTAGCGCTCTGTCATAATGCTTTGTTTTGTTAATATTCACGTTCAATTGCTTTGTATTGCATTTATAGTAGATATTATGGTTAATAAGGCCTGAAGATGTACCTAAATGACAAGATTATGAATACATTAATTGGTGTAAATGAGTAGTGATGACCTGATTTGCTTGATTAATCCACTGCTAATGTTCTGATTTGTAGGTTTTTTTTCCTTTTCATGTATAGAAAACATCATCCGTCCCTTCCAGGTTATTTGCTACACTAATTAAGAATTAGGAACATCTTTGATGAAATGTGTGCCCCAAACCAGATGTTCTTTAAGCCAATGCAACCATTGTGGTTTTTTCAATTAGTGATCCTTAAAAGTGATCATACAAGGATACCATAAACTTACAAGATGTAAAAATTTAATAAATTAATACAATGAAACACATTGGAGTCCAAAATCCAGCTTTGCAGTTGTGGGATGTGTAGATTAGTTTTTACACTATTCAATTTTACATTCAGGTATTTCAGGTATATAACACATTGAAAATAGCAAACCAGTGAGATAAGCACAAACCTCCTAAAGAAAGAAGAAAAACTGTTTGGCAGACAAGCGTGTTCACTTAGGACCTCACTACTCGTAGAAAGAAGCTTTAAGGATTTAAGGAAATATGCTTTCAGGACTTTTAGTGTCAAAATTATAATCAATGCATCTTAAGATCACTGTTACCTTCTTTCTTTAATGCACCCATGCCGTGAAAATCAACCAGTGTGTCAGATGTCTTCCCTGTCATAAAAAAAAATATTTAACTGAGGTGCCTGGTCAAGCTGGGAAACTAATTAGAGATACTATTTTAAATAATAAACAAAAAAACAGATTCCAAGTATGCTCAGGAAAAGTCAGCAATTTAAGTCAGCAATTTAATAGAACTATGCAGCTCCAACATTTAATATTTTTCAATTTCAGTCTGAAAAGGCAGACTGATCAGTCGGTGGATCACAGTGGCAAGATGAACTTGAAACAGTCAATACAGTCAGTGTCTTTACAAGTCTTTATTTCCTCAACACCAGCCTGCCATCTCATTATTTTATTTGTTAAAGACATGATTTTGTTTGTTGTTCACTCTTCCATACATGTCGGTGTGTATTTATGGTGAGCACTAGCTGATGTGCCACATCCAAGAGTTACATCTAGAAATCTTTATGTATCATAATTATGTCCCCTGTCCCGGGGCAACCTAGACATAACATTAGGTGTCTTCCCACTCCTAAGTAAGGCCAGTTCAACACTGGAAAATTGCAAAGTATCAGTTTTATTTTATCTTCAGAGATGAGCTGTGCACAAAATAACCTCTCACTCTTAATTAATCTGCTACCAAGTGCTAAATATATCCAAATCCTTATTTACAAAGATCTGTTTACAGCAAACAATTGCTAAGGTCAATGAATTGAGGTCTTCACCTCACAGAGTTTCCACAAACATTCAAAATCACTAAGCTGCAGTTTTTTCTACTTACAAAGGGGTTTCACACAACAACACTCTAAACTGGCACATGGTTGGGAGTAGGAGAGTGAAGAGAAAGATTGCTGTCAGCTGGGGGTTTCATCCAGAAGACCAATCACGAGGTAGCAATCAACTCCGATGGCCTAATACAGGGTGCCCACCTGTTTTCCATTACATGCATGAAGGAAGCACACATACTGAGGGAGAAGAACAGAACTGTCATTGCATGGTAAAATGGCAAATATTATAATGAAATACTAATTGAATATAAATCACTTTGTTTTATGACATTTTGCTGCTGATTGCTGTAGTACTGCTGTAGGTGTGCACATGCTGAAATCTCTGTTTTGTATTAATTCCATTCTTCTGTTGATATTTCCGAGCTGAAGTTGTTGGTCTGAGAATGCTTATTTTCTGTTACTTAACATAATCCTTTTCAGGGTCACGGGGGCATCAACCTATCCCAGCACACAAGCCCGGGACACATTGTGCACGGACTACCTGTCTAGACGGATACACATTAATACCTATGAACAATTTAGAATGTCCAACCCACCTGACCTCTGTGTTTTGAATGTGGGAGGAAAATATAGCATCACAGGAGAACAAGCAAAACACCGCTGCAGCCCGATTTCATTAAAGCTTCATCTGATCTGATGTAATCAAGTTGATTTGATTTTAATTTATACATTATTGCTCTCTGCAGGGCAAAAAAAGCTCTCTAGCTTGGATAGATTGTATGCCTTGCCGGTGCAGCGCTAATGTAAGCCATGACAGAACACGCCTCTCACAGGTCAGCGACCCAGCTCCAGGCCATAGGAGCAAGGCCAGTAAGTGATGCAGGGCAGCATGGCGTCTGCTGCAAAGTGGCAGAGCTGCTTGTGCTCTGCTGATGATGCGAACTTGGCTCGCCAGGAGACTGATCCGTGAGCCCGGCTCCTCCCCGGTCCTAGTGAGAAACCCAGGGCCAGGACAAGAATCTGGCAGCTCCGTGAATCAATAAAGAAATTGGGGGGGGGGGGGGATATTTCTAACATTGTGCTGTCCAGATGAACTATACTCTTTCTACAGGTTTCATACTTAGTTTCAATTGGTGACATTGGTTGCTTTTCGTGCTGTTGTCGCTCTGCAGTGTTTAATTAGCTAGCTGGACAAACCTGGTAGGAAGAGTTTTCCCACCTTTACCGTGTGAGAGCTGCCTCTGGGGCTTTGGTGTCTCTCTGCTTCTCTCCAGGGAGCAGAGTTAAAGATACCTTGCTTTGATGATAAAAGAACAAAATGTATATTGGGATGCCCTTTGCCCAAGCAGGCCATTACTGGCTCTGCCATGAGAAGGGATTATACTTATCCATGTTGTTGTACTTGAGCTGGGAGTTACTGCTGGACAGCACCAATCAGAATGACAATAACAGGTTTGTAATTTCATGAATTTACTTACTTTTGACTCAATTTCAAATGAAAAATAAAATATGTGAAACCATTTAAAACAAAATCGGTGTTTACCTTTATGAACAGTTAGTGGAGGTTTAGAACTGCAATTTAGGAACTTACTGATAGGTAAAAGGTATAAAGTATCTTAACATGTTTTACAAATACATACTCTGTAGCCTGTATGTTTTGCCATTCAAATAAACAAAATTACATTGGCCAGACATTTTCCCTATCTATATGGTACTTTTATGCATATGTCCCAAAAGGAATGCATTTGCAATTTTGCCAATTTGAGAAGTATCATGTACAACATTGACCCCCCCTACAATACAACTTGAAGCCAACTCTCACTTTTGATATGAACTGCAGTTCTGAATATAATAATACTTTTGATATTATAGTACACACAGTTTACAATTGTCAACCACTATTTACACCAAGGCCACTGACAGGAACACTATTGACCGCAAGCAGTTTTCATCTGAGGAATACCAAATAAAGTCGACCTCTTTGCCAGTTTTAAACTTTTTTTATAAAATAATTTCTACCTCTGTTGAAGGTTTTGAGGCAAGGTCAGAAGAACTTAAAAACAATGGATTGATTGTGTTTACAACAAAGCCTCAGAGAGGTGTAGAAAACATCTAATGCAGCCAAAGAGTAAGTCAAATAAAAATCATGTCTTTACTTGTAGTTTTCACCAGATCAAATCTGTAATATTGAAACACTGACATATTTTGTCCTCTAATGAAAGTGAGGACGATATTTTCAACACCAAACTCTTTCTTTGCACACAAACAAAACAAAGGGCTTTTTACATTTATCAGATTTGCAAAGATTCTCCACAGTCCATAAAAGCCCAGTGAAATGATATTTTCAACATAAAGGAACTGTATTGCATTTAGGACCAGCATTTGGTTGGTGCCACTAGTGGAGTTATTTATATGCTCAAATGCCCCTCTGGCTGAATGTGTAAATGGAAAAAATAAGGCGACAACTACAAACCTGAACAGAAAGTGCACCAAAGAAGACCAGCCCAACCTCACCTGTAGTGAAACATTTAATGGAATAGAAACACACATTGTCCAGGCCGAAAGTACATTCTTGTAAAGGTGAGATGACAATCTCGGTTTACTGCTTTTGAAAAGAAAAGCATCTTTGGAAAAATGAATAATTTCCCTAACATTAATAAATTGCCTTTTGATTAGAGTGCATATATCAGTTGGATACAATAGGTTGAAGAAAATAGATGGTTAAGAAATGCAAGTGTAGCTCATGCAAAGCATTTACACTCTAAAATTCATCATAATTAGCCCACATTATCCAACCATTTTCCACAATGGGAAAAAAAGCACATCTACCAAGTCTCTTGACCTCTGTGTTTTTAGAACTCACACTCCTAGATGAAAACCTATGATTTATGTAAGCTAGGCTAGAATTACAAATCTGTTCTCTGACCCAGAAAAGAACATTATTCTTCATATACATTCCGGTTTCAAACATAAATATTGTAAATGACTCCAAGGTAACCTGTTGTTGTCCTTGCAGTATAACTCCAGCTAGAATCTCTTAGGATATCCCTTGACAATATACGGAAGCCCTGAGAGGCAAGCGAGAAAAATGTATTTTCTTAAAAAAGGTTTTGCCAAGATAATCTTTTCTTAAATTTGATTTCTTTTCATATGTGAAATGGGTGGAAAAAATGATTTGCCTGGAATTAAAAAAAAGTGTTTGTTGTTAAAATACTCATTTTGGCCATAAAAGGCTGTGCACCACTACCCCAATAATTGACCCTTCACTAAGCCACGCCCCAAACGCGCAGCTGGCCAATCACAGCGCAGTATAGGACTCACTCTAGCTGAGGTCCGACACTTTCATGGCTGCACTCCATTGACTCTAATGTAAAAGGAGTCATTTTCTAGCTTTCTCTAGCCGTACTTTCCAAGATATGGTCAAACACTAAGATATGGTCATTACAAATACCTGGGAGTGCACATGGCCAGTGCTATGCTGTTTGCTGTTGCATGCTAGGGCAGCAGGTTGTGGGTAGCGGACGCTAATAGACTCAACAAACTGATCCGCAAGGCCAGTGACGTTGTGGGGGTGGAGCTGGACTCTCTGTCGGTGGTGTCAGAGAGGAGGATGCTGTCCAAACTAAATGTCACGGGAAGTCATTCCTGCCTGTGGCCATCAAACTTTATAACTCCTCCCTTTAAGTGTCTGACACTTAGTCAGTTATTAAACTAGACCTCATTATCTATTTTCTGTCCAATATTACCTGTCTAATAATTAATGTGCAATATTCTCTGCTGCTATTTATTCACTTGTCCTTTTTGGTTCACCATAAAAATTCTTAATAATGTAAATATTGTACATACCCACACACCTTTATATTATATTTCTATTTTTTATATTTATATACTCTTTATCTATCTACCTTTGACAAGTGCAATTGTGACAAAAGAATTTCCCCTAGGGGATCAATAAAGTATTTCTGATTCTGAAACACTGTTCATAGGGCTCGTAATAATTATAATCACTACCCAGAGTGGTCGAAAGGAGAAGTAAGATTTATTCACTTTCCAAAACCTAAAACAAATCCAGAAAAATGTAGGCTGCCTATTGTTTTTAATGTAATGTTAGTTAGCTAACTCTAGCTAACCTACTACTGAATGTAACGTTATAAAGCACTACTGTTCTGCTTTTTAATTATTGTAATAGTGAACAGAGACCTACCCAGCTGTACAGGAACTGTGTTGATCCTTAATATCGTTGTCCTCTTTCTCAATAGTCAGGTGATATGGTGGTTCACTTTTACTTTGTGATCAGTTGGCTTCAGTTTGACAGTCTGAATATGCATATTCAAATGCATGATGCAACTTCAAAACTGTCTGCTTCTTTCAGAGATAGTTTTTTCCAAAAATTAGACAATATTTCTCGGGGGAGTGCGGTAATAAACAGTGGGTCCGACAGTTTGTCGGACTTAGCAACAGTAACTATGGGGGGCGTGGCTTAGCGAAGGGTCAATTTCGCTATGCACTAAACACAAGGTACATGTATTGTTTATTTGCAAGTTTTGTAACAATACAGTCATGTATTTCTTGTGACTACAAATATATTTTAATCAGCGCTAATCTAAATCTAAATATCTAAATCTAAAAATAGTGCTACATACTGATGTTAGTAATTAGGTCGCTGGCTAATGAGTGAAAAACATGCACTTGGCTACCAACAACTACAGCCTACGGAATTATGTTGCGTTCAAGACAATTCGGTACTTTGGAGTTTCTACTTGTGAACTCAGAGCAAAACTATCTACCCCGACTTCAAGAGGAAGAAAGTGCCCATGGAAGCACACATAGTAAATGGTAAACCATAAACTAAAAGGCAACATAAATCAACAGAAATTATACTTGCCTGTATTTAATTAAGATAATGCATACTATCACATCGTAAAACCTGTTCTGTTTTGTTATTGCCCCCATTCATCATGAGCTGAACTCAAAGATCTAAGACTTTCTCTATGTACACAAAAGGCCTATTTCTCACAAATATTGTTCACAAATCTGTCAAAATCTGTGTTAGTGAGCACTTCTCCATTGCCGAGGTAATCCATCTACCTCACAGGTGTGGCATATCAAGATGCTGATCAGACAGCATGGGTATTGCACAGGTGTGCCTTAGGCTGGCCACAACAAAAGGCCACTCAAAAATGTGTGAACAATAAACAATCTCTAAAAGTCACCTTCTCTGCTCAAAAGTTATTCAGAAAAATGTTATATATATACACAACATTTACTGACATTTGCAGAATTTCTACTGATGTAGCTAGACGAGAACACAGAATGAGTACTGATGTTTATGTCGCTTGTTTTCATTAAAACGGATCTTTCTAATTGACGCCAAAGGCACTACAGAGGGTTCGCTTGTGTGCATCATGCTACTGGAACGCTTTGAGGTCAGAAGTTGTCTTGAACGCAGCATAAGAACCATTAGAACATGGAGTAGTGGCGCACTTCCGCCTCTTATGGCCAAAATGAGCGTTACAACAACAAAAAAAAACACAAGACGTCTTTCCATCCAGTTGTCATTAATTAATTGTCATCATTTAAGCGTACTTTTGAAAAGTCGCAAAAAATAAAAAATAAATAAATAACTAAATACGTGCGTTTCCATAAGTTGGTTTGGAGCAAATAATCAAGGCTATGCCGAGTTCTTTACGTCAGTAGTTGACGTTACACATGGTTGTAATAAACAAGACGTATGGGTTCCAAACCAGAAACAAAACCAGTTGCATGAACCTGATGGCAATTCATCTTAGAAAAATGGAGAGAGGTCCTCAGAAATATGTTTCAAGCGGGCAAGTTATGCCAAGTTTTGCATGCCTCCCGAGAATTGCATGCACCTCCAAATAGCCTAATGCTTTTAAACACTATAATATCCTTTGTGGGGTTCATCAATGGTGATAAATGAATCGAAGTAGCCTATAGCCTATATTTTATGAACGTTTAGAGTCGTTAATATTTTATTACACTCAGTAGAAGTAGCATTCATTGAGATTCAGCAAAAATATGCGGTGATAACCCCGTTTGATCAGTGTGCGGATCAAAGTATCTGAAAAGGACCTTTAAGAGATGAATGCATAATTCAGCAGAACAGATGATGAAGGCTACCTGCCGAGATTTGTATCCACCTCTTTTCTCAGCACAAATGAACGTTACCAGCTCAGGTGCATGAAATTTTCGGCAGGCAGGCAGAACTCCGCACAACCGGCCAAGACGTCAACAGCAGAAACAGCTGATCAGACGTGAGTTATTCGGAAAAAGAGTTTCCATCTCCCATTTAGCGCATTTACCCTTTTTCGACGAAGCAACCACCTCAAGCGAGCGTAAAACTTTAAGGTACCTTTTTTCACTTGTAATAAGCCAAGACACAGGAGACAGAGCTATTTAGATCAGCCTTTGAAAATGGATCACTATCACTATTTTTCCACTTGCCTTCAGAACTTCCTTAGCAAAAGATTGCAGTGATTGCCATTATTAAATACCACACAGGAAACAGACTTACATTAACCTGTTTCCTGGCAGCGCAATTTCCATAAAATGGTCATTTATGATAAAGGTTGAATAGGAAATAGACTGTTATTACCGAGTTGAAACAGGGTCTCTGTCTATCTGTTCGCTTCATCATGTGCAACGGACAGTCCGGCGTGACAGATTAATCAGTCACTGAAGACCAGAAAAAGCTGGGAAAAAGCAGCTTCCTAAGTAAAGGGAAATAGGATGTAATGATAACATTTTAAATTACCTCTGCGGAGAACTTTAAAATCGCTGTGTTTTATGCACTGCACCGCCTACTATGTCGTCTTTCCAGACACCCCGGATTACGTAAACATACGCACCCCACTACACGTTACGGATATGACGTCAACGCGCTGCAATTCAAACTTGAGGAAACGAAAGCGGTTTGGTTGGTAAACGGTCTTGTCACCAACAGGCTTGTTTCAGGGGATATCTGTTGTTCGTTTTATCCGTAAGTATCAAATGTGTCGTTTTTATCCGTGCCAGTAATCTTTGTTTTCATGGTACTGTTTCAAAATAGACACGATGTAACGTTAGTTTGTTAAACGCTCAACTGATGCTACAGTAAAGGCAGGTGTAAGGGTGTAACGTTAACGTTATTATGGCACGTTAACCTCCAAGAGCTGTCAGTTTTAATTTAACGTTACATAACTGAAATAACATAAAATGATGTGGAAAGATGATGATAAATAATGTTAAGTTAATTTACAATGACTGGAAAAGGTCATGTTTTGACAAATGTGTTTATTTTTCCCTCAACTTACACTAATACCATGGAAGTTCTGTTGCATAATATAATTTAACGTTAATATTAATGTCAATTTTCAATACGTCTGTACGCCCGCAGTTTAGTATTTCTGTTTCATGTTTCATGATGGTTTAGTGTTTTGAACTTTCCCTTCAGTTTGATTATTGTTCAAATTGATTTCTGTCAAGTTGAAACTTAATATGTGGCGAGACCCATCAGTATTTGAAATGTCTTGTTTCCTTGTAGAATCCAGGTTACTTCGTCAACACCAGCAAAGCAGACATGACATCTAAAGGTGCCAAAGAGAGCATCGCCACCAAGTTGGGTTTCAAATCCAACAGCTCTACCTCCAAGGCTGAGGCAGAGCTGGAGAAAGTCAGGAAGGAGAATGCTCACCTCAGGAGAAAGATTGATGAACTGGCCAAACGACACATCAAACCACCCGAGTCCGACAAAAGCAAGCTGCTAGAGGTGAAGGAAGTGTTTGTTTTGTGGGTGGTATTGAGTAATTTCAAGATTACCTTCAGAATTTCCTGCATGTCTGTTTTTTTTGTATTTTAATGTGCATATGTTGTCTGGTGTTGTTTATTTCAGAGGATTCTTTCCCTTGAGACGCTGCGAGAGAGAAACAATCAGCAGTTGCTTGTTAAAGAGCAGGAGCTAGAAACACTGAGACAGCAGCTGACAGCTAGAGGAGGAGAGGTATGTACACATGACACATCTCTGCAGAAATATATAGTTTAAAAAAATCACATTCCTATATCCGTCTAGCAGTCCTCTGTAAACATGGACACATTTAAACACAGAGTTGGACACCCTGAGGAAGCAGTTTTCTGGCCAGGGTTAGGAGATATACCTACAGCAGTGTCTTTGAGAGTACTCCTCAACTTGTGAAGATTTGTGGCATTGTATTGGTGGCATATGTATTGCTGGCAGCAGACAACTGTCAGAAAGGAAATAAATCAGACTACAATTCCACTGAGGCGCCAGTTGGGGGGTGGGGGGGGCTCACAAAGAAAAGCTTCTATGCCATTTTGACAGCAACTCGGCTAAGTGAAGTTTAGACAGCCAGCAAAAACATACTAACACATGGTGTTTATGCTGTTCACTTGATATTTATAAAACACCTATCTTTCACTCTAGTGGGCCTGTGTATGAATTAGCATTCATGCCCTTATTACTGCTAGAGAAACTGATGCTATCTGTTTGAGATTGTTGCTTATCCTTGTGAAATCTCTTTTGTATTGTGGCAGAAATCATTTTTTTTATTCAGTATAGTCAGAACGGCATCAGGGTAAAACTTGGAAATGGCACGCTGATAAATGGAACACCGGCTTTTTGACATTGCGAATTTGTGTAATGTGATTAAATCACACTTGCCTCTTTCTCATTAACTTTCATCAGCAAAAGTGCTAAAAACAGAGCTGCTCAGTGTGCAACGACAGCAGACCGCCTGCCATGTCATTTGTGTGAAGCAGATAATTGCTTGGAGAAGTGCAAACTGTCTCTGCATAAACAAAGGTTACAAAATCTGGTTCACATGGTTACTTTACTTCATTTTGCTGTGTATTTCAGGTGGTAGCATCACTGCAGGCCCAACTGGAGCAGCGGAGGAAGGAGGCTGAGCAGAGAGACATGTTGTTCCAGAACTTGTTGCAGGAGACGGAGAACCTGAAAAACCAGCTGGTCACTGTTTCTACCCGGTGCCAGTCCCTGGAAACACAGGTGACCAACTTAAAGCCTCTCTATCTATCTAAATGTTAAGATTAGTTGAAAAAGTTGGCACTGCCATTAATGTTTTCTGTCTCTTGCGCACAACTAGCTTTCTTAATTGGGGAATATGTACTGTTCCAATAATGTAGTTGGCTTTAAGATGTGTCTGATTAACTACTTGCTTGGGCTGGTTTTTGAATAGTCATGTTAGCGGTTCACATCATTACCTAGTACACCTAAGACTGATATGTTCATATTAATAGGTTTATTGTACATTTGACAAGAATGTTTTTACGGTGACTCTACTGCATGCAAGGAGACTGACTTGTTTGGAAATGCAGGTGAAGTTATTCCATCATCCACTAGGTGGTATTGTGTGACCTCTGATTGTTTTCCTCAGCAGCTGACCTTCTCTGTGGAACAGCCTTGGTAATTTGTTGTAATGAAATATGCAAGTAATGCATCACTCAAAATGAAGCATTGTAAATGTGGTTTTTTGCAATAAATACCTGTATAATAACACATCACTTAACAGTGGTTTTGTAAAAGGAAAAATTATAACTTTGACCAAGTGACAGTCTGTCTGTAGGATTGTATAATCAATATCATCATCACAATCATCAGTGCAAGAGCTTTTTGTTAATCTGTGGTTGCCTCTTGGGTCCCCCACAATTCTAGGCTCTCATTCCTCATCAAAAGGCAGCACTGACTGATTCCCAGTCAGCCCTTTGACACTTTGATGCATTTTTTTTAGCATGTTCCTTGCTGCATTCTTAGAAAGCGGCCATCAGGATTCTCCTTGGCTTCGGCAAAGGCTTAAGTGGCAAAGTGAGTACTTCGGGAATTCGAATGGCGGAAGACTCAAAAGATCACATACAATACCTATGGGCTTTTGGGGGCAATAATGAAGCTCAATTCAAATTAATTCAAAGTTAATTCAGAGAAGAAAAGAATCCACCTCATTGTCCTGATTTTCACCCAGTATTTCCAGGAGCTCTCCCTCTATAGTATGTCTCTTCATCTTAATCTTCAGTATCAGTTAGGGTGAAGGAATTTTAACATAAAACACGTCTTGTTTGCTCCTATGAAAACTTGATTTATTTACCATAGTTGCTACACTTCTAATTATTATAACCTTTTCACGTTAACGCCAAAAGCTATAGACTTATTATCATTGATATTTCTCAATATTTAAGTGACAGTGTTACCAAAATGTAGTCCTGCTGGGGGGTTTTAGCCGTCGTTAGAACCGTAAGAATAGGAGTGTGAAAGTAAAGATACAGATGCTTTTTTTCTTTTTTATTCCCTTGTTTTTATTCCTCATAAAGGTCACCACAAAGCTGGAAATACTGTATTTGAATCTAAATATTCTCAGGTTGCTTACATAACGCCTGCTTTGGTTTTCAAGGCCACTACTTTTGTTGGAAAGTATTAAAACATGGAGTATGTATACACATGAATAGGAATCCTTGGTACTTGTAGACATGTAGTCCTTTTGGATATCAGTGGCTTTCAGCTCTCACTGCGAGTGGCTTTCCTTATCGTTATGTCTTAATGGTAATTTTACAGGAATGTTGTGCACTTTCCAAGCCCTTGGCCTAGCTCCTTTCACATTTACTAGAAATAATCTGTCCAACAGGCCCTTACCCACGCTTACCCTCGTTATCCTTGGATTCACAAAAGCTATTAGTGGGCTTAGCTCATGGGACATACGTTTAAATCCATCTGGAAAAAGTTGACAAGCTCATGTTGCTTGTCTGCTGGTGTAAGAGCTCACAGAGCCTTAGCACAGAGATGATCGTTTAGATGCCTGTTCTTGCTGCTGTGAAGATTTAGCTTGAGCTTAGACGTTGGGTGGGATCAGTCATCTCATAATTCTGTCACCCTGACCCTGACTTTCATCTGGGGAAGGATGGTCGAGGAATTGGCCCTAGTGATGGCGCCCTGGATCTTGTGGCCATTAGTGGGCGCATGGCTTTTTGTTGCATTATAAAAAATTAAGAAGATGAATAATTTAAACCAGCAAGCCCTGCGAGTGATTTAAAGCCTGTGGCAAACCTGCGGCTTTTAGTGCCCAGAAAACTGATGGCAAACAGACACGAATAACAGCATGAACTAGGATTCAAAATATCTTGCTGAAGGACTGCAGTTGTAAATTTGCCAGTGGGCTAACACTGGCACGTTTACAGTCATGTTCATTCATATGTGTTGTCATTTCATTGATCTTGGATTAATGTCAAATAAGAATTGTTTTGTGGAATTTCAGACCAAAAGTCTTCAGTACTGTCTGTAATTTTACTTGAGCTCAAATAATTTTTCAAGGCGACAGCACTTTCTAGAATAACCATATATAATAACAAAAAAAGGCATAGTGGCAGACAGTAGCACACACTGTTTTTTGTTTTGTTTTTTTGGTGCAAAACACATAGACAGTTACACCAGAGTGTATTTATCAGACTTGTATTTATTTCAAAAGTGTGTTTTTCTCTCCACAGAATGCACAGTTACCTCCTGCAGACTTGGCTTTGGTGCAAGATCAACTGAGAGACGTGAGTCCAGTCAATAATTCTGTTTCTGCGTGCCTGTCTCTAATTTAAAGTACATGTTTGTGTAACTATGTGTACCATAGCTTTGAAATTTAAACATGTTGCCCATCGAGGATCCATTTAAAGCATTTCACTCCATGTTCATTCAATATTTTGTTTTTAGCCATTTTATGTCAACATCAATAGTTAGTATCAACAAAGGAACTCTGGTTATTACTTTTTTTTTGATACAACAAAACATTTAGATTTAGTATGAGTGAAAGCAGTGTTTCTTTCCTATCCACTTGGTTTTGATGAAAACCTCTTGTCACAAAACCAAACTCAGGTGTGCCTTGAGTGTGCTTGAATTGAGCAGCTCTAATGTAAAAATGCACAGAATACAGTACATCAGTGTGTGCACTCTGCATCTGGTCACCAGGCTCTTGAGAAGAACCAGCAGTGGCTGATGTACGACCAGCAGAGAGAGGCCTACGTCCAGTCCATCCTTGCCCGTACACAGGAGCTGGAGCAGCAGCTGGCCCAGGCAAAGCAACAATCCCAACAAGAGGCCGGTTCAGATGGTGAGAAATGTAGGATGAATTAGTTCTGACACCCTCAACTTATTCCTTACAATCCCTTGCTAAGCACATAAAATGTTAAGTAATTAAAATGAACTTAGCAAACACTGTGTGCTCTGATGCATACAGTATGAAATGTGAAAAGGGTAAATAGGGGAAATTATGTTTTGTTTCGGAAATGAGTTTTCTAGCCACAACATTAAACATTAAAAGGCTTTGAGTTGAAATTAAAAATATTATCAACAGCAGCAGCACTGGGGACTGTTTGGCTTTGACAATAAAATGGCGAAACTTGCTATAAATCTTCTTCTGCATTGATAATGCTTAGATTAGCTTCTTAACTTGCTTACTAACGCTTCTTATCTCAGTTCCTGCCAACTCAGTGGATCCTGAAAAGGGTCTTCAGCTGAAGAGCCATAACAACCAGTTGCTGTTGGGGTTACAGAAAGACCTGCAGAGCCAAAAAGATCAGTTCACCAGAACCCAACAGGAGCTCTGTGTGCAGAGGGAACAGGTAAATTCTGTAGGATTTCATTTAATTATTATTTACTCATTTTGACTTTTCCACATCTGAGGATTCCTGTTTCTGTCTAATAAAGATTTACTTCTTAATTAATTCTTGGATTCAACTTTTGTGGCTTGTGCTGCTCATATTCCTGACACCTTGCAGTCTCACTATCAAATGATGTTAAGTTAATGGACATTCACTCGTTAAAAGTTAGAGTCTGCATGCAACTGCACGAATCCTATTACATTTCTACATTTCTTGGGTTCAGGCATCTTTTTTATAATTAATTCATAGAACTCTATTGGAGAATTTAATAAACGGAAAGCGTATATACCATTCCGAAATGTGTCGTTTCTCTATTTAGACCTTGAAAGCTCAGGCCGAGTTGCAGTCTCAGAAGGAGCAGGCCACCAGCTTCCAGGAGGAGATGGCAGCACTGCAGAGGAGGCATGAGGAGAAGTGCGGCGAGCTGTCATCCTTCCTGAGGAAATATAAAGAGAAGTGCAAAGAGCTAGAGGAGGGCAAGATGCAGCTGCAGGCAGAGCGACTCAGCATCAGGTAAAGCAAGACTGCTCTTGTTGTAGAAATCAAATAGAGATGGTTGTCGGATCAACTCTGTGTCAAAGTTTATCTTGAGACGGTAAATATGACTGGAGCAAAGAAACAACAGAGTCTACAGTATGATTAGAAAAGCCCTGACTGCAGATTAATTAGGACATTTACTTTGATATACCTTTTTTCCCACTGTTTAAGTACTATATAAGTATTATTCCTCATTTATTTATGTGACTTGTAAAAACATTGCATCCAGACGTGAAGTGTGTGAGGAGAAAAAGGTGTCGTCCGAGCGGGTAGACAGAATGAAAGCAGAACTGGAGAGCATGGACATCAGATTGGAGGAGGAGAGGAAGAGATCTGCTGAACTTCTACTGCAGGTGACGCTCGCATTCACTTTCATGCTTTTACCTGTAGTCACACTTCACTTGGTCATTTATGAAAGTTGTTTACTTATTATATAAAATCACTCATGACGCATGGAAGGAGATATTAGACCTCGTCTACCGATAATTATATTTTACTTAATAGAACACAAGAGTTCAATCGATTTTTGACAGTATTGAAATACAGTCACATCCTAGGTTTATTTGAATGGAAATAGATTTCAATCTAACATTGTGTTTTACCGATCATTTGGCCGTTGTAGGTAAACATGCTGCAGAAGTCTCTTATGAGCCAAAACGAAGAGCAGAGGAGGATTGCAGCACTGGAGCAACAGGTAACAGGTGTTTTACAGCAGTTAACATTCAACGACATCTCAAAGTCAAGAAACGTTCAATGACTGTTTCCCGGTGCATTCTTTTTGCATTGTGTGAAGCGAGGAGTCAGAGTGAACGACGAGATCACTCAGCTATTATGTAGTATGTACACACTATTTTGAGGGACCATTATTTGTTAAAAGTAGTGAAATCCATATGATCCAGCTTGTGCAATTTATGTACAGTGAGTTCTTGGCTCCTTCCCTCTGACATATTTCCACCTTAGATCCAACTCTCTGCCAAGGACTTTGAGAATGAAAAGATTGATCGTCACAGCATGCAGCACCAGTTACATAAGGTGCTGAAGGAGCTTCGCAAGGCCCGAGATCAGATTGCTAAACTGGAGTCTGCTGTAAGTCTTTCTGCACATCATAACCACATGTTCATTGTTAAGTCTTTCAGAAATACAACTAAGTCTGTTAAACCGGTCACAAACAATGGCTCTTACTGGGTTACTTCTTGTGAGCGCCTCAGAAGTAAGCACTTCAGTATTCATTGATGGTGCTACTATAATGCCAATTTTAGAAAGGTTTATGTCAAATATCCCAATAGTATTTTATTTGTTTTATTCCGTGTTTCAGAAACAGCCAAACACCCGTTTCTCAGAGCCCGGCTCCTACAACAACCTTGAGTTTGAGCGTCTTACTATCAATGACCCTCCTGGTCCAACATCTCCCTCTAAAGTTACCAACCTCATGGATGAGAGTTTCCTGGAATGCCCAAAGTGTCGGGCACCCTATCCCACCAGCCGCCACAGGGAGCTCCTTGCACACATTGACTACTGCTTTGCCTGAGCTAGAGGTAGAGTCTAGATCAGTGGTTCCCAGCTTGGATGTCGGGACCCTTACTCACCCAAGCACCAAAACAGAATTCTATTTTTAATTTAAATTTTTTACCTTTCCTGGCCTTTAAAATAAATGGGGGGTCACTATTTGGTTAACCCAGTCATATAGATATGCAGTCTGTGACAATGGGTAACAAGTAGACATTGCTTCTTTCTGAATGTGTCACAAACCAAAAAGTTTGGGAACCACTGGACTAGATCATAAGATCCATTCAGGAAGTTTAGCCCCATGTAATACTTGATATGTTACAATTCGAGAAACACTGATTCCACACAAACACAGCACTCTTGTGAACATCAATGGTAAGTAAAATACATTTTTAAACGCATCTGGAAAGTTACTTGCATGGTTGCCAACAAACCAACGTTTTATTTTCCAAAAGCTGCAAAGCAGTTGAGACCTCATGCAAGATGATTAGATTGAAATACTACTCCTGCTGTAATAATGATCCCTGGATACACATTTATGATGCATTCGATGAGCATGATAGTGTGTTTGCACTTTCCATAAACAAGGTTTATTTCATCACTGCAATAGGCTGTGGTTAATAATCTTTTTGTCTGCACTCCAAGAGCTGTTCAAATAGTTATTTTGTATCAGAGTGGATTAAGATCCAGCTGGAATTTCTTCTTCCTTAGTAAATACATTAATATACATATGGAATGGGAATCAAGGGATATTGAAATCACTTCACTTCATGCTAGGTGAGAGTGACAATAAAAAATTAAAGAATACTCCGTACATCTTTTTGACCTTAGTATACCGCCAGGCCAAAGACTGATCTGATTATTTGTTAAAAATAACTTGTATTCCTTCCATATCTTTATTTCTGGGCTTCATTTTTTGAGTGCATTTGTGTTTTTCAGGTTGTCTGTTTATGACTCTCTTCAAAAGCTCTCAAATTCTATTATTTTTGTGAGTATTTGATGAAATTATTTATTCTTGGGTTGTTTTTATACGTGAACTGTCTTTTTAGATAATGAAAGATTTTATTTTTCTGTCATTAAATGTAAGCAAGGATAATTATGTATTATTGTACAATGTTATGCATTTTATCATATGGGAGGTAGCTTTTTTTTTTTTTTATTGCATTTTGCATAAATGTTTACAAACCTGCCTCATATGTGCCACACTGGTGCTCCACTGCTAGTTTCAGTAATCAAGCATGTATAGTATTGAAGGCGTATTTGCGTTGTTCTGAAAAAGAGAGCAATCACCCCTAAGCACCAATGGTGTTTTGCCACTCACTCTGAGGTGGAGGACAAAATAATAAGGGAAGAAAATATATCTGTTCCAGCTTTTTTGTTCTCGAATACATTAGAGTCATAATTCTGGACAAAACTTTCCATCTGAGTTGCCTGCCATGTGTTGCCTATTAAATCCCTATTGGCTGTGTTCCATTACAAAGTGTAGCGTTGTGTTTCTCTGTCTAGTGTCTTGTAAACAGTTGGACAAACCTCGCTGAACAATGTGACCGTAATCATGACCAAGATCTTTCTTACCCATATTGTTTGATTTGCCTAAACTTAACCAGACCTTAAACATACATGCACCAGGGAGCTTAATTGCTCCTGCAGTGAATCTCACTTCTCTCTCCACCTTGACTTTTGAAGCCTGCAGCCCCGTGAGGCTGGAATGAGATTGCACGAGTTAATTCCTTGTGATAAACTATTTAAGGCAGGGGATTAGTAAAGGTCCTCTTGGTAGGGGATAGGGGGTTAAGGTGCGTTTTTATTCCTGCAGCCATGGCAATGTGACTCGATAGACTTAAGACAAACACCATTATACTGTCATCTTTAAGGTAGTTGTTTTGTTTGAACTTCATGTGGTCATGTGTCTTTTAAAAAATGCGAGCCGAGTATCAGATTGTTTTGACCAACAATTTTGCTGTTTATTTTTTTTTAAGCCATTTCTGTTTTTATTCTAATCATGTGCTTTGAAGTTTTTTTGCTGTGCACTGTACTGTACAAAAATGTGCAATAAACATGTTAATCTTTCAACCTAACAGTCCTTTGTGTACCTTTACCAACATTAGTGTATATCAAGGCCAGTAGTGTTTTGAACTTTTTCTCAATTACTGAATAGACTACTAAAAAAACACAAACATTTTTAATACATTTTTTTGCTTTCTTGCCATGTCTGTTTATACCGGCACTTGTGTTCTAGGTTACCCACAGAGGAAAAGTGATGGCTAGAGCTTGGTGTATCTTTGCTTAGTTGTGTTCACTTAACTGTACTTTGATACTGAAAGGATCGAGCATCACTGTATTCCATTTATCATCAAGCTGATGGATCACATTCTGATGTTTCAGCATAATAGATTTTTTTTAACTTAATCTACAAAGTAACTAGGTATTCCTGTAGAAAACATTTTGTTAATCTTTATAATCACTTGTGACCCAATAGATTATGTGACGCTAAAGGATCAGCCATTGATTGATTAAAAGTGTCTCCAGCCACCCTGTTGGCTCTGTGCTGTACTGCAGCATGCTAAATGCTAATGTCAGCATGCTAACATGCTGTTTTTGTACAGGTATAATCATAATTTTTATAATTTTAGCATGCTAACATATGCTAGTTTGACCTAAACACACAGTTCATTTGAGGCTGATGGGAATGTCACTAGTTTTGCAGGTATTTTTTCGTGTGTTATTGAGTTTTTGACCATTTATCCTGCCTGTACCAAATTTCAGTAATTTCTGTAAAATGGTTTTTGCGTGGACATTTCACTGAAAACCATGTAGACATCATGGTCACACTACAGAAAAAAACTCAGTATTACCCAAGTCATTAGGGTTTGTCATCCAGGAACTATGAATGTCTACAAAATTCACCCAGCATATGTTTAGATCTATCTTTGGATAAGTGAAAACTTGGACCTGCATGGCTAAAATGTAAATGTCAACCACAGATTGACAGGAGAGGTGTTGGGGCTTTATGAACTTTATACACACCACTGGCAAGTAGTTTCTGTAATAACAATGTGACCCTGTGAAAACTGTAGACATAGTAACGTACATACAATATATACTTCAAGTATATAAAATATAGTTCATATGTAATTCATTAAAAGCTATTTTCACACACTTGTTTTTGTTTGATATTGTTTATTTGTTGAATGATATATGATATATGAAATAAACCCTAATCCTAACATGAATCAAGAAGTACAGTACATTCAAGACGCAACCAAACCACTATGCCTGTATAGCATGACTTAATGTGAATGTATTTGGGTTTATTAACAACATCTGCTTTTGTGCTACAAGATACTGCACGTCCTTCAGTGTAAAAGCAAAGCCAGTGACATGTTAACCTCTTTTTTTTATTTTGTTTTATTAAACGTGGTTATATTCCAGAGCTACAATAATGCCGAGACCTTCAGCTTCATTTATAATAGATTTTCACAACTTATCATTTGTCACATTGGCCTGAAAAGTTGTTTTTCAGTGATGTGATAGGACCAGAGAGCAATTTCCACTGGTTTCCTTGGGGAAGGTTGTTTTACACTACTCTGAAGTTATCATACAACAACATGTGATAGATTTTGTGGATAAAATGTTAAAAGGCCCAGAATCCCCTTTAATAATGGTGAAATTTTGGGAAAGTAGTAACACACCAGCATCAACAGTCACCTTTCCTTTCTATTGACAGTATAGTCATGTAAATGTGACAGTGTATAGTTAGCCATTTCTTGTTTATTTCTTAAAGAAGAATGGGCTCCTTCATCTGTTCAGATAGACAAAGACAGTATAGAGAGAACTCTGTTGGGATTCAGTCCAAGACCAGCAGAGGGGCCCGCAGTCCCAGAGAGGGGTGCTTCAAAAAGAAGTTTTCTGAGCGTCAACAGATCAGCTGCTGTCGCAGAAGCCTGCAGAGGAAAGAAGGAAAACATTTTGCTTAGGCTACTCGAAAATACCATATGAGCATTAAAACTCTTATCTCTCATATTAAAACTTTTATTATTTTATTTTATTTAGTTTATTGTCAATTGCTAATGAAGTGATTTCTGATCTCATCTTATCAGATAATGAAGTTAGACAGTGATCACAAGGACTTACGACGCAACTTAGTCAAGTCAATCAATTTACTTGGTCTCTAACATTATTTAATGACACCTACTAACGAATAGATCAATAAATCCTTGCATGACCAAATTAGCACTACAGTGAACTCAACTCACCATTGTGTGCAATGCGTCGGTATTTGCCCAGCAGGCAGAGGTCCGTCTTCTTCTGGTGGACGGCTCGCTGGTCCTCGGGCCTCAGGCCGGCTGAATCGCGAGAGAATATGAGGGAGTAGCTGTCTAGGCAAGTGCCGTCAGAGTCTTGTAGTCTGCAGGAGAAGTGGATGGCGTAGTTGTCGTAGTCAGTGTCGATCACCCAATGGTCATCATCTGGGGGGGGAGTTTAGATTTGTTACCACATTCGATGTTTTTAACTAGCATGGTAATTGTAAGGGCAAAAAAAAAGCATCCCACACACCACAATGCACATTTACTGTGAATCTCACAAGTATTTTGTGGGTCAGAGTTGCTTTGTTGTATGTATATGGAAGCTGATCACAAGATACTGTTTCAGTTACAGTTGAGGTAAATTCCCCTTTAACATCGAAACTCCAGACTTTGTGCTTTGAAGAGATATGACTATCTCTATTTGACTTTGATTATTTTAAGCTGAAAGTGGACTTGGGCACTGTCCACCATTTAGACAAACTCAATGCTGGGAGGCACAAAGCATAAGCAAGTCAACAACTGATGCAATAATCTGGGTGGGTATTATGGGTAATACTACAGTTGAAACAGAAAACTTCAGTTAACTTACACAGTTTGGTTCAGCACTGGCATCACAGAGACTTTTAAAACTGAATAAAGAGTTTCTCAATATTGATTTGTATGAAAGTACAATTATTAAACCACTGTACTTAATGTGATTCAATCAATGACATTTGGACCCCTTCCTAGAAAGTATTTCAAATCAATTCAATTAAATTTTTATGTATATAGCACCGAATCTCAACAGTTATCTCATAGCGCTTATTTGGTTTGATTCATTTTCTTGGTCAGGGTCACAGTGAGCCAAGTGCTGCAGTTGATTGCATACAAAAGTTGTCTGAAGGTCAACAACCCTTGAAGTTTATGCTAATAAGGTGCTTAGCAGTGGTCATACATTAGTTGCCTTGAATTTTGTCGTCGAACACCGAAACAAACTCAAGTTAGATTCTATTAGTGTTCAGGTGTAAATGTTCCACAACTTACTTCCAGTCTGCAGGTAGGAGGCCGCTCCCCAGTACTTCATCCTGAACTTGGCAGGGTCGGGGGTATCCTCAAAGGTGGCAAACATGTCGGCACACATTTCCCAGTTGCTAGAAGTCAAAGAGAGAGTTGGATGCTACGTTAAGAAGTGATTTATTAAGCATAAAACGTGCAGCAAGTTGCACAAATTCACAGCTCAAGTGGAGGAAAAGGTGAGCCTTCCCAGTAAAGAGCAGAACTCACTTGAGGATGATGACTCTGCCCTTAGCACTGGCAGTCATTTTGCCATCGTCTTCAATAGTATAATGGGCCACAATGTTGTCAAGTAAGAACAAACCCTCTGGGTCCTTCTTTGCTATGGCATACCATGTCCCTGCATACTAAGAGAACAAAATCCACATGTAAGTCCACTTCACACCTCCATGTTTTTCATTTAATGTTAAAACACAAAATATTCCAAGTGAGATCAGGGATACAGAAAAGTTTCTTTAAGAAATAAATTGTAACAAATTACAGTTTAATTAGTATTTTACAAAGTACCTTAAACAGAAGTGACATTTTTATCTAAGTGTCTAAAATAAAATAATACAAAGCAGATGTGAATAAGATAATAGAACTTTATACTTATACTTAAATAATTTATACTTCCAACTCACCCTGGTCTTGTTAAAGTTCTGCATGACCTGGATGTTGGACACCTGGCAGTCCTGTGCCCAGGAGAAAGCCAGGAGGCAAAGAGCCACAACGTACCGCAGCATTCTACTTCGCAAGAACAAAAAAAAGACAGATAGAAAGAAGGAAAGTGGTTAGGAGTTTGAGAGGAGGCACAGCGACAGAAAAGCGACAGAGAGGACAGACACATTGCCAGTTAATTTCCATTCAAGTCCTCAAGTCATGTAAAGTGTAATATTATTCCATAAAATATTTCCCTTTGTGCTACAAACTGTATGTCAAAAAAAGTGCTACACTTTGAATAAATTAATCAAAATGATTTCTATTAAAATGTGTGAGTGGGTAAAAAGAAGATATTTTGCAAAAGCACAAAAACACAGTTCCATTGTCAGTGCATACCTGGTTCCCAAAATGTAGACAGCTCTCAGGGGTCCTCTTGTTTTCTGTCAGGTTTCAGCCTTATATACAGCTGGTTTGTGTTGCATAATGACTTCTGGAGATCTGACCCTCCCCTGTTCTCCCCCAGCTAGCTTTCCTTTCATTGGACAAAAATGTACATAACTGCAGGCCCTAGTCCTATTGATTTGTGTGTTCTGCACATTTGGCCGACCACCCCTCCATACCCCCCCTCCCAAAATGGATTTTCCTGTGAGAACTGCTGAGGTCTTATGAAAGCAACAACCAGCAAAGCCAAGATGACCATCTGGAATGAGCTATACAATTCAAGTGTAGATACAAACACACGTGCATTCACACACTGTAGGCACACACTCTGGTGTGTGAAGAAGGTAGTGACTTGTACCCTTTGTCATTTGTGGATGACTTGCACTTGCAGAGGCACAGAACCCCCTGGTTTGTGTGGGAGAACTGGATTGCATTAATGCGCGTTTCAGCCCTTTCTCCTTTCTTATTTACCAAAAAATGTTACAGTATGTGTGCATGCTTCCCAGCAGCAACCATATAATTGCATCAGCTATTGACTTGATTATGCTCTCATGGCACTCCTTTGTAACTCCCAGCACTGTGTTTTTATAAATGGTCCAGAGTGTTCACGTCCACTCACAACAGGAAATAATCAATGTGAAAGAGAGATAATCACATCTTTTCTGAGAACAAAGTCTGGAGTTTCAAACACCAGTAAAAATGCTTCTGTAGATACTGCTATAAATGATGAGTCCAAGAGGGCTCAGGGAGGAAGACACATCTTTTGAATCAGCAACAACAAAATGAATCAACAGAAACAAGTTTAGCCACGAACATTCCTTTGTATCACAAATCTGTGACTAATCTACATCAATGAGATCAATCCCAGCATCTTTGCTTTCAAAGCATTCTTGTCATTTAAGGGATCAGTGTGAAATCAGTTGTGTATTTTTGTGAAAATCACACCAGAGGAAGTTAATTACTGACTCCTGTGAATACTAAGCTAAAGTAAATGGCTTCCATACTGATGTACTCATGTACACAAGAACCTCTTTATTTCTTATTTGAGAACATGTTGTTCTCCCAAGACCAGGGTCAAACAGCTTGTGTCAGTTTTCTGACTTGTTTGATTCTGATTTTTCAGGTTTGCACAGATAAAATGTATATAATTCACAGTACAAGCAATTTAATAGAAGTTCCTAAACTACTCTCTAATGCAGGTCTGTGTTTCATCTGACTTAAATCTGCTGGGGCAGAATCGTGCTGTTGTTTTGACTGAGATCATGCACTCAGTCCTCTGAGGGCTTGGTTTTAATAAAAGAGCACAGCACAGCCAAACATCTGTAGCTTGCATAACCACAGCCCCGGCCAGTCGAAAACAGCTCAATCACTCATTTTTAGCGGAAATAATAGCGACTGGAATTTGGCTAGAGGGAGTGTAACATTTTATAATCATGAAGATTGTCCAAAAAACCATATACTTTATGGTACACTGTCAGGTGCGTGTATGCATTTAACATTTTGGGCAGTATAGTGGTAAATGGTGATGTCATGCTTAAAGCAGGAGTCAGTTTCTTCACAATTGGCTAAATATACTGCTTCCATGTGAGCTTTTGGGCTTTAAAGAGGGAAATGTGGGTAAACTGAGTGTAATGCAGTCCAGTCAGACATTACCACTGCCTCCAAGTACCAATAACAAGTTGAATCAACACTGTCAACAAGATTTGCAAAGATAATATTGTTGCAGGTAATTGTATTGGATTGAAATAGATTGTACTGGCATAAACTGCTATACTTGATGAAGATTGCTTAGTGTGAAACCTTCACCAAATAAATGTCATCACTTTTTACTAGTTAGCTTTAGTCTTGAATAACAGAAGAACTGTAAATGAGGTTAAGTTTAGAAAATATTTCATCCATCTACAGTGAGGTGATGAAGCTATGCAAGACAAAATATCACATTGTTCCTCTTACATGTGAAAAGTTGAATTCATAAGCAAAATGTTCAGTTCAATGCACAGTGTTTTGGTGAGGCAGCCATGCATTGTCTGCCATGACCAGTAGCATATGGTTGCTAATGTTAGCTAATGCTAACAAACTTATGAAATAATGTTGTGTCTCATTCCAAAGCAACTGGCTTAAGAATTTTGTCCTGCCATTACTACATGTGGCCCCAGTCACTGCTGTTCAGTTAAAGTCACATAGTTTAAATTTAATAAAATTCACTTTATTTTAGTACATACATTTGTTAAAAATGAACACTATCAGGAACAGTACTGAAAATACATGGCGGATTCTATTCCATTAAAAGAAAATACTCAATCAGAAATATCATTAGTCATATTATCATTATTACATTTGTTACATTACACATCTCTCTCAACACCCAACCCACTGTGTCCCACTGTGAAATGGGCTTCTCTAATTCATTTCCACAATACCTAACATACACACAGACACACAGACATACACACACACACACCTTTAGAAGTTATCCCTTAATAAGCTTGCCTTTATCCCCACTGCAAAAAATAGTGGGGAACTCCTGGTCTTGCCAGCCTGCCAGCTGCTAACCATACGCTCAGTATACTCAGTTAATAATATCCAGCCATCTTTGTTTAGGGCCTTGTTCTCAGACGTCTAAGTCTCACTAATTGGCCAATTTCCAGTCCTGGGACTGATACCTCCATGATGATGGTGATTTAATTAAAGTACACAGGTAGGCTGCTTACACATTTAGAGTATTAGATAGGGTAACATGGTGGCTCTGTGCACAATCACTGCCAGTGGCTGACACTATTTAGGTACTTCCTCCTTCGTTAACAACAACAATGGTGATAATCCCTAATGCGGAGTTGGATGACAAGGAGGTTATTTGAGGCAAGGAGAGCTGATATCATGTCTTCTGAGAGCTCACAATAAAGTAAACATTGGTACCACACTTTAAATGTCAGATTGGAACAGAGGGCTACTGGTGAATCCAGTAACCGGCTTACAGAAGACCTGTGCAAGAAGCAACTCTTTTCAGTGACTGTTGAGGTGCTCTTTAGCAAGGCACTTAAGCCTCCACAGCTCCAACTTCGCATCAGTTGGATGGACCCCAAAGTGTCATGGTGTGTTGAGTTTCATGTAAGGGCATAAGGTGACTTGTGAAAACCACCCGAACCAATGAGTTAGGACAGCAATATGTCTTGGGTCTTTACCTCTCCATCATTTTGCCACCTTCCAGATCACACTCCTGATGTAGCCCATGTATCCAACCTTCGACCTGACAATAGTCTCACTCTCCTGCGTCCTCCCTAAGATAGGGAGGATTGCGCCATCAGCATTGGGATTTGCGGGTTAAGGACGCTTAAAGCAGGGCTTTTAATGTCATGACGTCACATTAATTAGCGGCCACTTTGATCCTTTCAGCCTGTAAGCCGCACTCTGTCCTATTCTGTCTGTCGCCGGACACGGGACGTGTTAGTGACTCCCTCAGGGACCGCGGTGGAGAATGCAAGTCCGCACAAACGGATGCTACTGAGCCAGCCAACCGTGTAGGCCACAGCTCAGCTCCCCTCTCCATTTTTTACAAAACCTTGCAGGTGATGCTTTTGTGAAAAGAGGACGGGAATACAAAACTACTTGAGTTCAAAATGGCAGACAAGGATAGCGTGGAGAAATACCTGGAGAACAACCCACAGTTCGCCAAAGAATACTTCGATAAGAAGTTGCGCGCTGAAGCCCTCTCCGCCGCCTTTTCTGCACCTGTCGACATCAAAGACACCGCTTCCTTCAAGGATATTAACTCTGTTCAAGAGGCCGCCATCATCTTTGAGCTGGTCCAGGAGTTGCAGAAACAGGTTGACTTTGAGAAGTCCTTTCACAAAGTGTTGCAGAGGGTTGCCCTGATCTTACAGGCCGACAGGCTCAGTTATTACATATGCCGGGCCAGAAACGGAATACCCGAGCTGGCCTCTTGCCTCTTTGACGTGACTCCAACATCCAAATACGAGGCAAACCTCATTAATCCTCAGAGTGAAATTGTGTTCCCTCTCGATATGGGTGTTGTCGGTTACACCGCACATTGCAAAAAGCCACAAAATGTTCCTGACGTCTCAAAGGTGAGAAGTAAAAAGTACTCGAAAAGTACTCTCTCAGAAAGTTGTGTGCGCCTGACTGAAGCTGTCATAAATTATGTGTTTGTTTGTACAAATGTATTAGTGAAAATGAGCGCTATAAATATATGCTGGGTCTTTAAAAAAAAAAAAACGAACTTACTTTTTTATAAAGTTAGCTGAAGGTCATTTGGTGGTAGACGGCTGCTAATTGATAAATTCACTGTGGACCTAATAACGTATTTTTATTTTTATTTTGGTAGGCTATTCATATATTTATGTACAGCATAACATAGCCTACATAGTGAGGTTCATGCTATTGTTGTTTTTAAAATGTTTGATTGTAAGTAGGCCTACCAGTTTGGGCATGATTAATAAAAACTGTGCCTGTGCAAGTGAAAAAAAAGATATCAATTATTTCTTAAGATTATTGTCATGTCTCCAAGCCAACTATCCCTTATTAAACATCAGTTGTATTATGAAAATAGTCAGCTGAAGAATATGGTATTTTGACACATCTTGTCCATTGTCAAATGTGCAGCAAGAGTAGCTAATAATAGAATACTGATTACAGAATAAACAACAATTTGTCATTTATTTCAAATTAAGACCAGACAGCTGCCCTATATTTGAAAACTCAATATGATATAATATTATTATGAATATGAATCTTTCAGTCTGATAGGCAGTTAATCAGCATATGAAAACAACATCAAACTGCAGAGAATGAAATGAACAATGTAAATGTGTTGTTGTATATCAGTGATTTGGTTTTATATCCACCTTTCGATTCAACCAAACCTCATATGAAGTTTTTTATTTTCTCTCAATACAGAATAACAAGTTCTGTGACTTTGTGGACAAACAGACTGGATACAAGACTAAATGCTTGCTCACTTTCCCTTTGTTGGCTGACAAAGAGTGCCTTGGAGTCACCATGGCGCTAAACAAAATAGGAGCTGATGCGTTTTCTGCAGAGGATGAGGCGGTAAGAATACACACTTAAACATGTGCATTCACTCTTAAACATTGTGATTTGATTTACTGATTGATTTTGATTGATTGATTGATTTACAGTGAGCTGGAACCGGGTTGTGTTTTGGGCACCGATGCATGTCTGCCACTAACTGTTTCATAAATTAAACCTATAGATGTTTGTAGAATTAATATAAGGTCTTTTTTGTCTTAAGAAGGAGCAGCTAAAATACACCCTATTTTGGAATTCTCTGCTCATCATATTCACAGTTGCTTGTCTGCTAAAAAAGCCTGTGCTCTACCGTTTGAAATTTGCAACTTGATAAAGATTATTGCTGTAATTACATCTCACCAGCAGGGTGCAAAACACTCCCTTTATGTCAGTGGGAGCCAATCAGACCTCACTGACTAAATGCAGTTGCTTTTGAGCATTTGACTTGGAAAAAAAAAGCATGATGATTTAACTAGGAATATGTTATCTCTGAATCAGAAAACATTCACTTCTGGCTCTTATTATTCAGAAGCCACAAACTCACGCTGGGGCACAATTCCATAAAGACTAAATTGGGTCAGATGGAAATTGTGTTTTAACAGACTATTGAGGTTGATTCTTAAGTTACATTGGTGATTGCCAGGAACTGAAAAAGAGAGTAAAGACATGTAGAGGAGAGTATTGGTGAAAACGATGCACTGGGCTAATGCTTTAATTGCCAAGATGCATTATAATGTCTGAGAACTCTGCATTGTTTTGTTAGGTATATAAGCACAGAGGTAGTGATTGTTTACTTCTCTTTATCTTTACATATTATCTTGATTGGGTCAGTGTCTCCAAAACGTAAACTTCAGTATATAAGGAAAAGCGCAGTCATGTTCTTGATCAACATCAAGGAGTCTGGTAATAACAAATTTAATGGAATTTTAGCAACCAGAGAAAACCTCTTAAATGTCTATGTATGTAAATCCATGTGCAAAATATGTGTCATTTGAGTAAGGATTTGCCAAACGTTGATGTAAATGACCGTATGAAGTCTATATTTACTGATTGGTCAAATCTAAAGTCAAATTTTCAGGATACATACTCTTTACACCCACCAGACAATTCATATACAGTTCGATTTCTATGACAAATCACATCTTTGCTGAGGGAAATGTAGCCAAATTGTACTGTACTTAAAAAAGTTCACATGTGCCACAGTCTCAAATCTGCTGTTGTGTATTAATGAAACCTCTAATCTGATTTGGTCCTTTGGTCCTTAGCTCTTCCACAAGTACATGAACTTTGCTCAAGTCCTTGCCCTGCAGCACTACACAAGCTACATGTTCAATGTGGAATCCAGAAGGAGTCAGGTAAACTATACTGCTGCTATGAAATTAATAAATGCTTTAAGTATCCTTTGAGTCAGGAAAGTAGGTGAGAGTGGATATGCAATACTGTGATGTTATCCAGTGGGAACTTCCCATCATTAAGCACTGATATTATACTGTGTTAGTTCCCTGTTGGTATTTCTAATGCACTGAACAGAGCTCATGCTATATGCCAAAGCTAAACATTTAATTACCCGCATTGCCGTTCATTTGCTTATAGGTGCTGCTCTGGTCTGCCAGCAAAGTGTTTGAGGAGTTGACAGACATTGAGAGACAGTTCCACAAAGCGCTCTACACTGTAAGGACCTATCTACTATGCGAACGATACTCAGTGGGTCTGTTGGACATGACCAAAGAGAAGGTTGGTGTTGCGTCAGTGATTCAATTTTACAGAATTGAACAGATGGCATCCATGGCTACAGTCACGAATAACTCACAACTGGTATTGTCTGTGTTTTTTTCCTGCAGGAATTCTATGATGAATGGCCGGTGAAACTGGGAGATGTGGAACCCTATAAGGGACCAAAAACACCTGACGGCAGGGTAACAAACTAATTTTTCTCCTCATTTATTCATTTCTTCAACTTACATTTTCACTAATGTAGTTTGAAGATGATTGAGAATTTAATAATAGAATATATAATACTGACCTGCTTCTGCTTTTTATACAGGAAGTCATCTTTTACAAGATCATTGACTACCTCCTGGAAGGCAAAGAAGAAATCAAAGTCATACCGTGAGCAGCATTAGCTACATGATACAAATTCACTCAAAATCATATGATACATTTCAAATACAGCATAAACAGAACAAATTGTGTTACGGACTTTGGATGAAGAAATTGAGTGAGTGCTATTCACATTTTTAAATGTCTTATTTCAAAATAAACATCCACACGTAGTCTCAAATTAACAACATTCTGATGAGTCACATAATACATGAGAGTCAGCACTGTGTAACTGGCTTCTCTGGCAATAATATGCTGACTCCAGCTCATACAACTCTACATGTTTCTCTCTTTTTTCAGTGGTCCGCCTCCAGATCACTGGGCTCTAGTTAGCGGACTACCAACGTATGTTGCAGAGAATGGCTTTGTAAGTCTCCCACAGCCGCTGTAGGACAGTACATTATCAGAATCACTAGAATGTATAAAAAAATGAAAAATAGAGGGGAACGCACTTGTGCAATAGGCACAGAGACATAGCAACATTTATCATTGTCCAGTAAATAAGCTAGTGGTATGTATCAGTTGGAATACTGTAAATGTAGTGACTTGGTTCAGTTATGTCAACGTATGGCACCAAATATATGACAAGTAATTTATTACATTTTAAATAAATGTGATCATTGTTAAATCCCAGTTAACAAAAGGTAAACATATTGCATTAAACATATTAAAATTCCATACAGTAAATTAAACATGACTTATAACAATTAAAGGTAGACACATATAATTGAGTTAAAGGTTGTTGCAAAGATTGATTAGCAACAGCAGTTATGAGTAAAATTTCCAATGTAAAGTGCTGGACTTTAATGTTTTTAATGTGACTGCCTGCAGATTTGCAACATGATGAACGTGGCTGCAGATGATTACTTCACTTTCCAGGTGAGGACACTTTTACTGTCTGTCCATATATAGGACACACGCAATTGTGTGTGGCCACCTTGGTATCCACTATGTAGCTGATTTCTCATATGCGCACAAGAGAATATACACCAGTATAGGTTTTGATATACTAACACATGTGAAGGCCCTTCCTGTGCAACATGCAGATGTTAATATCCTACTGTTTTGATGCTCATACTCCAGTAGAATGTAGCCGTGGCCCTAAACCAGTTGTGATGAAAATTTTATTTCAATGTCTTTCAGAAAGAGGCTGTGGATGAATCAGGTTTTGTCATCAAGAATGTCTTGTCGCTGCCCATTGTCAACAAGAAGGAAGAAATTGTGGGCATCGCCACTTTCTTCAACAGGAAAGACGGCAGGCCTTTTGATGAACACGATGAACAGATCACTGAGGTCAGCGCCGTGCTCTTTTCATTTCCTGTCACCACCATACAATATGTCCAATGTGGCATATCCTGTCATTTTCTATCTGTGTACATGCGCTTTTGTGGCTGTGTTGCTGTGAATTTGGATGCGTTTGTCCTCTCTCATGCTTTCTCACTTTCATTGTTCGTGGCCAGGCCCTGACACAGTTCTTGGGTTGGTCAGTGCTGAACTGCGACACCTATGACAGGCTGAACCGTATGGAGTATAGGAAAGACATTGCCCAGGAGATGCTCATGTACCAGAGCAAATGCACCAGTGATGAGCTGCAGTCCATTCTGGTCAGTCTGACGTTCCTCCACATTCTCCTCTCCAGACGCCTACCATAGAGCTCTCAGCATTTAATCAACTAACTAAAGACAGAATTAAACACAGTCAAAGGTTAATGCGCCGTGTATAGCTTTTGGAGTAGCAGTCCTCCAGTATCAGCTATTAGAGGACTAATTAAAGGTATCTAAAATTTGAGCCTATACAGTGTTCTGCTTGGAGCACTCGTCTGAAGGTGCTTAAAAATATAATCACGTGATGTTTTCAGATTTTCCGCTTTTTGTTTCCAATCTAGGAATTCAAGCTGTAAATTGTTGTATATGATGGCAGCACTTTCATGGGTTGAATGTAAGATGCCATTGTAAATTACTGTTCTCTTTTTTATAACTAGAACACCAAAGAGAAGTTTGATTCAGAGCCTGAAGACTGCGACCAGAAAGAAATGTACAAACTATTGGTATGTTTGGTTTGAACCTTCAGGACTAGCAATGAAATGAAACAGTTAATAATGATATGATGATAATATGATGATAATGTGATACATTAAGGTTATTACAGTAATCATTGATTCAAAGCACTGGCAAACCAAATAACTATAAATATGTTTATGAATTTGAATATTCATAGGCCTAATGTATTTAATGTGTTAACTATCTTGAGACTCACATGTCATCTGTATTTTTTTTGAGAATTTAATGACTCATGGACATGTTCTGTGTGAATTGTGTCGTGTTTTTTGTGCAGAAAGCAAACTGCCCAGCAGCTGACAATGTCGATGGAGAGAGTCTGTACCTGTTCTCCTTCAGTGACTTCCCCGTCTCAGAGCACGGCCTCATCAAAGCCGGCATTCGCATGTTCTTTGAGCTCGGAGTTGTTGAAAAGTTTAAAGTTCCCGCAGAGGTGAATCACGCAGTCAGACACTTATTTCGAGGATGCACTTAATGGTGGTGATGCAAACGGTCCCATCGGGAGAATATCCCTTTTTTTTGCCAAGCTGGGATATAGTTGTCTGCATTAGGTTCATTATTATTATCCCCCTCACAATCAGGGATTTTATTAATTTTTATTTAAAATACATATGAAAAAGTGAATTGATTAGATTAAAAAACTTGTGCAATGCAAACATATAATCCATTGGAAATGTGGGTACTGGATAACAGAAGCGATGAGCCTCAGGGATGCAGAATGCAGAAAGGGTCTATTTTGCTGGGAGGAGAAAAGTTGATGTGATCGTTAATCAGCCTCTCAAAGCATGTCATGTGCTTTTGCTACAAATCTGATTGACACTCAGCAGTGTAGCTGTGAAAGCAGAGTGGGTTTTGTCGGGCACTGCGGCGCCGTTTCTTTTAAAACACGGGTACATCACACTGAGTCATGGCCATGGCTCACCTGAAAGCCACCTAAAATTATAACATTATAACATAACACTTTTTTTCTCGCCTTGCTCTCTGAATCATACCCACCCTCTCCCCTCAGACGCTGACCAGATGGATGTACACCGTGAGGAAGGGTTACCGTGCCATCACCTACCACAACTGGAGGCATGGCTTCAACGTAGGCCACACCATGTTCTGTCTGCTGCAGGTAACGCCCGCACAACATCCTCTGCATTTACAGTAAATCCCGACACTAAAGCTTAATGTTCTAAGTTGTTGTAGTTTCACCTCTTCTCTTTCACTCACAACTGAGAATAGACATTTTCATCCTGGACAGGAACAGTGCATTTTTTATAGGTAGTCACAGTCACACACCCAAATGCCTGCACATACTAATCAATGATTTGTCTCCTCTGCGTTCAGACAGGGAGGCTGAGGAAGTACTACTCTGATCTAGATGCCTTTGCCATGGTGGCTGCTGCTTTCTGCCACGATATTGACCACAGAGGGACCAACAACCTCTACCAGACAAAGCAAGTCAAACAATGTGATTCTGTGCGTGGGGGAAGTTAAAGTGCATGTGTGTCGCCTGTGTGCCAATTTATTCTCCTATCTTTTGTCTCTTTGTTTTTTGTGTACCTGTAGGAGCGCGTCTCCTCTGGCTAAACTTCATGGCTCCTCCATCATGGAGAGGCACCATTTGGAGTACAGCAAGACGCTCATGGCTGAAGAGGTACGATTTCTTGACAATAACTTTAAATGTTAGACTTTAAAAAAAGGCACGCACACATTGACCACTCGTCGGTTGTCTCTTGCAGAGCCTGAACATCTTCTGCAACCTCCAGAAGCGTCAGTTTGAGAATGTGCAGCACTTGTTTGACGTCTGCATCATCGCCACTGATCTGGCCCTTTACTTCAAGTACTGCACTCAGACCAGTAGCAGCAACAATGCTACAGACACAGTTAGCGAAAGACCTGAAATAAAGCTAGTGAAAGACTGTAGCTCAGGCGTTTAGCTGCAGCCAATCAATGTTCATCTGTCTTTTCACTGCCTCAGTGCACTTCATGGAATCAGTGTTTGTCTTTTTGTCCTCGCACAGAAAGAGAACCATGTTCCAAAACATTGTGAACGCCACAGAGCCGATGACAGATGAAAAGGAGGCCATTGCCTATGTTTCCAACAACTCCACCAGGAAGGAAATCGTCATGTATGTAACCAAGTGGAGATTCTGTCTAGTTTATTCTAAAATATATTTTTTGGGACGATCTCTGCCCCTCGCAAATCATCATCATCAGTAGCGGTGTGTCATCTTCTCTCCCCTGACTGTCTGTCTGTCCCTCACCTCCAGGGCCATGATGATGACCGGTTGTGACTTGTCAGCTATCACCAAGCCCTGGGAGGTTCAGAGCAAGGTGGGTTACCTTCGAAGCTTTCACACAAGCTGGTTAAAGAATATATAGTGATGCTCACAAGAAACAAAAAAAATGCACAGGAGCACATATTTCTAATAATACTGTTTTCATGTAGTTTGTTCTGCATTATTTTGTCCTGCCTGCCGGTTAATCAGCTGGAAATATGTCTAGTTCTAGCTCAATAACTCAAACAAGAACATTCAATCAAACAGGGTTCAATAGTCCACTTTTATTAGTGTTTGTTTTTACTTTGAGATCACATGCTAACAGCTTTACACAAGGTCAAAAAACAGCTTTCATATTTATAGCTGGCAGAAGAGATCCTGCCCTGCTGACATGAAGTCCGTCCCACACGTAAATACTGTATGCTGGAAAAAATTGAAAACAACCCTTACAAGAAAATAGAATGTCCTGAGAGGAAATGTGTTTATATCAATATTTGCTACTCACTGGCAATCTCCCTATATATGTATGTTCCTCTCCAGGTGGCTCTGATGGTCGCTGCTGAATTCTGGGAACAGGGAGATTTGGAGAGATCTGTTTTGGACCAACAACCAATTGTAAGGCTCATACATCTCTTGTACCTTCTGTTCCTTTAACGTGATTTTGTTTTCTTAGTTTTCTCAGGATTTGTTTTCAACCTGAAACTCTCCCATCTCTTCCTCTCAGCCCATGATGGACAGAAACTGTGCTGAACAGCTACCCAAGATGCAGTGCGGTTTCATCGACTTTGTGTGCTCATTCGTATACAAGGTAACAATCAGCTTTTACGCCGCACAACTCCACCATTTTGTGAGCGTTTTTGAGTGTTATTATTATATCCCGAGGCCTGAAAAAAAAAAACATGGATTTTTGTAGAAAGGGAGTCTGGCCTGTGCCCTGTGTTGCAACAATTCATCTGTAACTGCTGGAATTTAAACACACCCACAGTCAAGAGGGGTGTAACGATTTCGTCCACGCTTCTACTTGAGTTAGATTTTCAGCAAAGCGCCACAAAAAGTACATTCTGTCCACGAGTTGTTTTGATACAGTTCAATTGAATTGATTGTGAGACTTTCAAAGGGTATGAGTTCTACAAATATAAACTGTAAAAGTAACTAAACAGAGTCATTAACCTCACTCCCAGGCCCTAGTTTAAAGTGTGAATTCTATTTTCAAGGCAATAAATTTCTTTTCAAGCCCTCTCCCAACTGTGCAGTAAATACCAATTTGTAAAGCCCTGTATAGGTGTTCAGTTTTGGAGGAGTGTGTGTGTCAGAATGGTGTAGCTTCAAGTCTGCTGTAACAGAGCGGAGGAACTAACACTATTGAAACACAAAACAGCAGGTAAACTTAAATGTATTAATCTAGTCTAATAAAAAAAGACTACAAAAATGACCATTGAGTTACCTAGTTTCGACAACATTAGAAAACAGGATGTATGGGGATGGACCTGTTGAACCCAGCTGGCCCCAGGAGGAATGTCAGCTGGCTGTTTGTCAGGATGGTATTTGGACAAAAACGCACACATCCATAAACCTGAACATTTGTCGGTTGCCTTCTGGTCTAAAAGGCATATCGTGCATTTGCAATACCAACGTTTTCCTTCTTGTAGGTTCTTCTCCCTCTACAGTATTTATCCCACACTGAATAGCACATACTTACATCCAGTGTGTTTGATTTTCATTTCCAGGAGTTTTCCAGATTCCACAAGGAGATCCAGCCCATGTTTGATGGGCTAAACAACAACAGGGCACACTGGAGTGAGCTGGCTGAGGTATACAACGCAAAGATGAAGGCCATTGAGGATCAGAAGAAGAAAGTGGAAGATGAGGAAGCCAAAAAACGTTAGAAAATCAAACTTGATTTTGTGCATATTTATCCAGTTGATGCCCTGTGTGTTAAGAATCATCCCAAAGCATTTTTTAAATTTTATTTCTGTGTGTTTATATAGCAGGTGGCGACGGAGCGAAGTCAAAGACCTGCACCATCTGCTAAGTTCCTCCAATGCTTGGATCTGGACTGATGCGATCTGGTTAGGACTAATCAAGGCTACGTTAGCCTTTTCTGGTCTGACATCTAGTCTAGTTGGGGTTTGACTAGGCTAGCTTGGTCTGGTCGGATCTACACCAGCGTAGTTCTCTCTGGTTAGGTGCAGTCCAGTCCAGCCCTGTTTGATCTGGTCTGCTTCAGTCTAGCCTACTTTTAGTCTAGTCTAATCAGGTCTGGTTTGTTGTCCAGCCTAACTATTCTCCAAGGAGGAAAGAGTCAGAAACACCACCAAGAAGTAATGACTGGAAGAGAAGCCGTTTGACTCTGAAGATGTGTTGCGTTTGAAACTTCCTCTGTTTCGTACGACACACAGCCATAAACATTTTAAAACCCAACATATACATAACTTAGCAATTATCTAAACATTGATGGTTAGATACACTCATATGCTGATACCACATATTTCACGTCAAACTAAAGTACAGATACAAACTCTTTAGTATAAATAGCTTAAACAGGGTACTGCATGTGCTGCATATGCATGCCAAAGCAACAGTTTTCACAGTGTTCCTATTCGACGTCAGTTACACACAGTATAGTAGTACTGTAGGTTGCACAGTGGACTTGCACACAATGCTGCTGCTGTTTTGGCAGGCCATGAATGGATAGCGGGAGGGCAGGCAGAGACAATAACCGCATAACTTTATACTTGCTGGATTCAGCGGAATGGGGTTAGAATTATGTTTTTGGTTAATGGTTTGAGCAGCACAAGTTGTGGAATTCATTCCTTGAGCACACGAGCAGAAGACAATCTGGATCCGGTTAATGCTCAATCAACAACGGCTGATGTTATCTTACCTCAGAAGGCGCCGACATGTTGTGTAAGAGTGTATGTATTTTAATATGCAATCCATCTATATATGTTGTTTTTTTTCTGATTCTTTGTCTGACAATTTTGTACTTGAACTGTCTTCACGGATGGAGAGTTTGAGACGAGCTTTGAGAGAGGGCGTGAATCTGTGAAACAAATTCACTCTAAAAAAAATCAAATTCAGGCATCAAAGAAATGTTTTGAATTTGTGCAACTTTATTGTCAGCTTTGAAAAACACCTGTAAGCTGGTGTCTTAAAGTCCAACAACCTGAAAAAATAATAATAAAAAAAGAGAAAATATATATATATATATATATATATATATATATAATATTTATTTAGCAAAATTACAATTCCATTATGATTTTTAAAAAACGTGACTGATTTCACATGTATATAGTTGATTATATAGAAACTGTAAAATCTAAATTGTGTATACTTAAGAATATCTGAAGCATAGAACTGATTTGAAGAATGTACAAGCAAAAGCAACCTTTGGTTCTTCTAAGGAAGCAAGAGTCACAGTCAGTCCAAGAGGCAGTAGATCTACCTCTCCTTAAGAAGATTTGATAGGATTTGATTGCCAGCCAGAGCTGGAGATCCACACAGCTTTAGGCTTTAAATACCCTTCTTACAGAGGAGGTAAAGCAGGCTACCAGAGCCTTACATGTATATGTGCAGACGACTTGTGTTTATGTGGCAGATGCAGCTATAGCATCATCGATTGTGTGACAGGCCAAAGTCCTCTGCTTCTTTCTTCACTGATGCAACTGTGTGATGAATCATTGCAATAACTGCTGTTTGATGTCAACTCAGTGTGAATCTCCTCCGCAACACCTCTTCATGTAAACCTGAATTCACTTGATCTGATCAGGCATCTGAGTTGACAGCGCACCCCCCACCCCGTAAAACACTTTTAACAATGCTCCTCCCCAGTGCAAAGGCAAACTGCGGCTCTCAAATTCCTGTTATACAATGTGATCTCCTCTGGTCAACCGGGCATCAATCAAAGGCTCTTAATCTTATCGGAATGGCTTTGGGAATACCTAGAAACTCTTTTTCTGCTGCTTGAGGTGATGTGAGGAGCTGTTGCGATTACTGGAGTCAAAACTGAGAAAAAAAAAACATTTAATGGATCAACCCAAGTCATATGTTTTAATGATTTAACCACGAATTTACCTCATTGTTCCTGTAGCACACATTTTATATGGATGGTTACACCACCAGTTCTGTCTCCAGTGATTCAAAAAATGGCCCCTTTCCCTTCAAAGATCCTTTGTGAGAAACCAAATAATGTGCTTTCTACTTACCCCATCTGCTGTCATTCAGACATTAGAAATCTATCATTTTGACGTATGAAATGACCTCTACTGTATGTATGTATGTATGAGATGTAATATTCGTAAGCAAATAAAGGAACTTATGGAGGTGTGAGAACAGATATAATCACTTTTTCTCAGTTTGAAAATGAATTAAGAAGCATATGCACAAAGGTGATACTTCATCTCTTATTCACACTTGACTTAGACAGAGACAGAGAATGAAGTGGGAGAATGAAACCTTGGGCTTCGCTGCGACAGTGCTTCGTTCTTAGTCATATACAGTGGGTATGGAAAGTATTCAGACCCCTTTAAATTTTTCACTCTTTGTTTCATTGCAGCCATTTTCCAAAAGCAAAGTTCATTTTATTTCTCATTAATGTATTTCAGTTTTTCTTTTTAATAAAGATGGGGTGATGAGTGTACATTAATGAGAAATAAAATGAACTTTTTTGATTTTTGGAAAATGGCTGCAATGAAACAAAGAGCACTTTCCGTACCCACTGTATATCGTGCAGGGATCTTAGAGGCTTCAAAGCTGGATGAGCCTTGGGATAAAGGATCAGCGGATTGGTTGTGATCCCTGCCCGATACAGTCTAGCTATGTTGTTGAACATCCTGTGTCCTGCTGTCAGCAGATTTTGCATGATTATGTGGTGTTTTGTCATCATTTTAAGAAGTATATAGTAATTTATAAAACAATCAGCTCTATGAAAGGAGTACAAATCTTTGAAATTAAGAGCAACATTGCTGCTACAGTGTAGTTTCAGTGTAGTATGCTGCAGAGGCCTCAACATGCCCGAAATATGACTGAATTTGAATTTAGGATGATTTATGAGCAGAGTTTGACACAAGAAGGCCGTCTTCACATCCATCTGCCGAAGGGGCAAAGTTTCTCTGTGCTCAGCTTAAATTTGACACGTGAAGGCAATAATTTTTAGCTAAAAAAACACACTTTGACACGACTGATCAACTGTAAATGCATCCAAGTACGGCCAGGGGCCAAGTCATGTCCCACCGCCACTTAAAAATAACAGGCTGTTATTGTTCAATGTACCATTTACTGCACTTAACCACCTGTTAGCTTACATCGCCTTGAATTGCACAGTGACTTCTCCTGCAAGGGAAGAAAGTTCTAAAGAGACAGACAGAGCAGTAAGAGGCAAAGTAATTGTCTTTATTTAATCTGAGGTCTATAATCTCCCAGCAACCTCAAGCAGCTTCCTTCTCTGGAAGTTGAAGTCAAAACAGTGCTTCAATCTGCCCTTGACCAAAGGTACTTCTTGTGCTAATCCTTGTTTTCGTTTTGTAAGAGCAGAGTGCTTGACTCTTCTGTATTAGTACTGATTACTATTACTACTTCACTCATTTTTATTTGCACAGGAAAGAGTAGTACTTTGGAAAATGTACCAAATATATTTTGCAAATTCAATTAATAAGATAATTTAAAGTTTAGGTTATTCTTACATATTAAAACAAGAGTACTTCGGCACAGCTGTGCTTTGAGCTAACATCAGCATGCTAACATGGTCACCATGACAACTGCACTTCAATGTCTCTGTACTTGTACTTGCAATGGCAATCAATTGAATCTAATCTAAGCAATACTAACATGCTGATGTTACACAGGTATAACATTTACCATGTTCCCATCAGCATGCAAGCATCTAACATCTGCTAATTAGCACTAAACACAAAATAGAGCTGTGGCTGATGGGAATGTCATTGGTTTTTCAAATATGGGTCATTAACCAAAGGACTGGACCAATTTCAATTCTGAGCTGATGATGGCACTAGATAAAGAGTTAGGGCATCGCTAAAGTAATGGCAATTACAAAGGGACATAAATGTCTGCACCAAATTTCTTGGCAATGCATCCAAAGACGGGACCAACTGACTGACAGACATTGCACTCCCACCCTTAGAAGCACGTTGCATACCAGCTTGTTTCAATTATTTTTCCGCAGCGATAGTGGTATGATTGAAGCGAAGATGAGACTGACAGGAACAGGATAAACATCGTGTTTATTTCTGTAGCAGTAATGAAACATACAGTCGAAGAAACCTCCAGACACACAAGACTCAAAGGGAGCATGCTTAATGTCAGTGGCACGCAGAAGGAGGTGTAGTCACACAGCAGGGTTGCCGCTGATAGCAGCGGAGTCACAGAAACATGTCTTCAAAGTACTCATCAAACTCCTCCTCCCTATGCAGATAAAACAAACACAGTCACAGAAATGTTAGTTGCTGTCATGCACGGTGCTGACACAGACTGTTAAATTCATTGTATGGTGGCCCTTTACTAACTCTGGCAGTGTTAGCATGCTTTTTAAAAAAATCTCATTTACATTTTATTCAGGCTCTAGGCAATATGAATTGATGTAGAGCACCAACATCAGTACAGAATACAAACAAATAAATAGCAGTGGGCAGTAAAATAAATGAATAGGAAATACAGACAATTGAAACACAGGCAAAAATAGCTCAGAAGGGCACCTAATTTACTCACTATCATTGGCTTAACTGAATGTTACAAAGGAGTAGGTTTCTTTATGTTCTCTATGATGCTTCTGTTTTTAAAAAAAACCATGTTATTCATCTCCAACATAATTATCATTACATACCTTACGGAGTCTAGATAATACTCTGCTGAAGTAATTTGCAGCCTGTGCAATGGGTCAGAAGCACTACCATCATATTATTAACAGTGGTTTGAGGTCAGGGCTTTGCTTGCATAGTACTTATGCTTGAATAAACAGTGCCTCTTACTGTGACCTTTTCTGTAATATTATATCTTTCTGAGAGCAGAAATCCAAATGTCAGGCCAAACGTAACAGGAGCAGGTTAAAGGTTTACTGACTTCCCTAACAGTTCAGAACAACTTTGTGCAGGGTATCTAAGTGGTCTACATTCTGTGCTATATAGGGATACATAACCTACATAGGCTAAGTGGTAAAGACAGTCTCTGATGGTTTAACAGCAGATTACTGGGTGTGTTTAATATGAACCTTCACTGTTAACCTCACCTTGACTTTTCCTCCACCGCAGGGGCAGGTCCTCGCCAGTGGTCGGCTTCTGATAGGTCATCTGGCTTCTCGCCAGCTTCGGAGTCTATTAGGAGAGTTTCAGTGAATTGTCAGTCACACTTACTGGAAGGAAAAACTCGACCAATAACCCTTGTTAATCAGTTTTAATGTCAGGGTCTTCACTGCTACCGTCATACGGCAGGAATTCATCTGACCAGCACAATTTTTGCTGAAGTCTGGAAACAACCAATTGAGATTTAAATCACTTTCTCATCCGAGATGTATTTGACCAATCAGCTAAAGTTCTGAAACATGTTTTTGTGCATAGTTTTAAGAACTAAATGTTTTCAGAAAGCCCGTCTATTTTCTCAGTTTGAGAATCATGCAAACTAGACAGCTCAGAGGTGAATTTGTTCAGTAAAGTTACTGAAGAGTCCATTTGATGTTTTAATGAAGGAGAGAACTGCCAATTTTTTGTACAGGCTAATTCATCCACAGCCTGAATTACAAACCAGTTACCAAGCAGGTAACTAGCCTGGGGCCAGAGACACCCATGAGCCCCAAAAAAACTTGGTTCACTATGGGTTATTTGGCATTTGGTCATTTAATTAAACACAATTTCTTAGGAAATCTGCATTAAGTACAATACTGTCTCAACAGCATTACTACCTAATCATGTGACGCTATACTGGGGGGTCAATAGGGGCCCAGTAGCCTGTTTTTGCCTCCTACCAGTTCAATCCAGCCAGGGCCAAACCAGATCACATAGTGTGAAATAAAAAGTATGAGTCTGCCAGCCCACGTAGATGTGGCCCTAATATAAAGTTCCAGGGGAAAAAAGTGCCTCTATAACCCTAAAGTCCCTGACCCTCCCTGAACGCATCGCTTACAAATTACATGATGTTTGATTGCTTTATTTAATCAAGTTCAGCTTTCAACAACTGCTTCAAATATGTGCAACTGAGACAAAAAATAAGAAGAAAGAATGTGTGAGAGTGTTTGTGTTTGGATTCCAATTCATGCTGAACTCAATGCATAACCTTTGGACAGAGAAAGTTTGTTTTTGAATAACACCGATAACCCACCCACCCATCCAGACCTAGGAATCAACACAACAGGGACACAGGGGGGGAAAAAACATACTTAATTTCATGCTGCTCGTAGTAAAGGGTAAAAAGATGAGGAAAATAGCTGGAATGGGGAGAAAAACCAGCTGAGAAAAAGCAGACCTGCTGTCTGTCTTTACTGTTAACTACAGGGTTAATGGATTGGTTCTCAGAAAGAACAGTCAGGGTTGTTTTCACTCCAGAAGTCTGGAGGAGTGTCATGGCCTAGAGGCCTGGGGGAGTAGATCATAAACTGTCCCAAGGTTTTTTAAAATTGGGGAGGTACTTCTATGTGTGTGTGTGTGTGTGTGTGTGTGTGTGTGTGTGTGTGTGTGTGTGTGTGTGTGTGTGTGTGTGTGTGTGTGTGTGTGTGAGTGAGTGAGTGAGTGAGTGAGTGTTATGAATGCTACCTTTGTCTGAGTCCTGCGACTCATCAGAACTGCTGGAAGAGGCGGAGCAATCTGTAGAGAGAGTTATAAAATGTTTTAACAAAAAGGGAGTCATTACAAAATAATAATGTCAAACAAAAAAAAATGGGGGGATTAAATCATTTCCAAGAACAAAACATAAACAAGGCTGCTCCCATCTGATGAAATTACCGGCCTAATTAAAGGGACAGTTCTTTTGGCTAGGAGAGGAGAGGAGTCTTACCTCTGTGCCTCTTATGTTTGTTTTTGTGCTTCTTGGACTTCGAAGACGATCTCTTCCTCTTTTTCTTCTTCTGTGATGGTTCCTGGTTCTCCTCTGATAACCTTTTAGTCTTTATCTTTGCTTTCACCTCTTTCCTCCTACAAACAGATTCACACTTGAGCAAACTGAGTTCACAATATAAAAGGCACTTTCAGAGGCACATGAATGAATCTTGGCCAGATCTATGGCAGATGACAGCTTCCTATAAGCTTCCTATACATTATGTTCGGAAGTCTGCTGGAACACTCAAGGGGACTTTTAGAATCCTGACAAGGCATGACATATCTAATGTC